TACCAGCGAGGCCAAGTTACTCACGCCTCTCTTGTCTACACGCGGAAGCAAAATAATTCTAAAGTGACTGTTCTTAGTTAGAGCATTTTTACCAAGAGTTGAGAATATAGATAAACTAGCTGGCTTACCCGGCTCCGCCGTATCCGGACCAAACTTGGCACACATACACTTCGAGCCCCGGCGGGTGTCACAGTCCACTTTTCGTTATCGATCGATGTCGATTTTACCGATTTTTATCGATTTTTTTGCAGAGTTCACCCACAGGGCTAGGAGTTGGCACAGGGGGGGAAGTGAGCATGGGGATTCCAAATACAATATTAGTTTTCAGAATTATCGATTACTTTTATTGATTTTATCGATTTTTTGTAAATTTTGACATGCGAGGCTGGGATTTTGCACAGGGGGTAATCGAGCATGCTGATTACGAACACAATATTAGTTTTCAGGATCGTCCATTACTTTTATCGATTTTATCGATTTTTTTTGTAAAGTTTGACCTGCGGGGCTCGGAGTTTGCACAGGGGGGTAATCGAGCATGCAGATTACGAATACAATATTAGTTTTCAAGATCGTCCATTACTTTTACCGATTTTATCGATTTTTTGAAAATTTGAGCTAGGGGGCTGGAATTTGGCACAGGGGTGTAATCGAGCATGCTGATCACCCCCCTTGGGAGTGATCAGCATGCTCGATTACCCCCCTGTGCCAACTCCCAGCCCCCTAGCTCAAACTTTGCAAAAAAATCGATAAAATCGATAAAAGTAATCGATAATCCCGAAAACCAATATTGTATTCGGAATCCCCATGCTCGATTACCCCCCTGTGCAAACTCCCAGCCCCGTAGCTCAAACTTTGCAAAAAAATCGATAAAATCGATAAAAGTAATCGATAATCCCGAAAACCAATATTGTATTCGGAATCCCCATGCTCGATTACCCCCCTGTGCAAACTCCCAGCCCCGTAGCTCAAAGTTTGCAAAAAAATCGATAAAATCGATAAAAGTAATCGATAATCCTGAAAACCAATATTGTATTCGGAATCCCCATGCTCGATTACCCCCCTGTGCCAACTCCCAGCCCCGTAGGTGAACTCAGCAAAAAAATCGATAAAAATCGATAAAATCGATATCGATCGATGACGAAAAGTAGCCTATGACACCCGCCGGGGCCCGAAGTGTATGTGTGCCAAGTTTGGTCCCGATCGGTTCAGAAATGGAATTTTCTATTCGGAACATACGTACACACATACATACAGACAGACAGACATACAGACAGACATACAGACAAACAGACATTCAGCTTTATATATAAGATTCAGCTCAAGTCAAGCTGTTCGCAGTTTGGTATCATTTCAAAAGTACCTAACAGGAGTACAACATATTTGAAAGACACATTTTAGGATAACAAGCTCGAAAAAAGCAGGTATAACAATCCGGACACTGGCGACCCAGTCTCTCATTGCGACACTCATGATTGCTTTTCGAAATACGTGTAACCCTTTTACGAAAATACGCTTAGTCATTCGTTATGAAATTTGGCAGCGTTCCAAAACGCCACTTGGCTGCAATCCAATTCCAAAGATCAGTATTTCATCATAATTTTTACGTCTGCGCCCTCCTCGTTTGCCATAATCCAACTATCAGAGGGTTAATGGGTAAACAACGAATTCGTTATATATTACGTAGTGATTACCGTAGCCATATTTTCGCTTAAATAACAGACGAATTCTACTTAGAAATGTTGTTTGATCTCAAGTATTCAACCTGCTCAACCGCTTTATACTTTGTGTCTTAAATAAATGGTGCGGAAAACAATACGACCAAAAAACTGTGAGCTGTCACATCCTGGTAATGAGCACATGATTTCTCATACATTTTGAAAGTCATATGACACGACATATGGGTTTGCGAGCAAAACAGATTGACAGAGTCTCACACATCCCACTTGCAGCACTTCTTCAAACACAGTTGACCAGTTTGTTCAATTTCGAGCACTTCAAAAAATGATAACTCCCGCAGTCATAGCTGTATGACGAAGGCGCAATATCTTTGGGCGCGAACGCGGCTTCATTAGCTGCAGAGAGCAGGAGGCGCTTGTTTCACAAGGTGAGGATACGCGCGCGCCGCGTTCGCGCCCGCTCAACTAATACTGCCATTGCGCCTCGTCATGCAATAGCCTTTGGAAACAACCATATCCTGAAGAACCAGTTGCTAACAGATTACGTACACTATACACTTACATCGTACTATAAGATTTGCACCGTATGCTAATATTATTGCATGAAATGTGCACAAATTACCTCATATAACATCTAAATGTAAATTATTAAAATCAAAGTCTTTCATCTGTTTGGTTCAGCTTTTTTCCGCGACTCACGTGAATGTGCTTCAATGCTAAAGAAAACAGCAGCTGGTTTCGCAAAAACTGCTCAGCTATGCATCCACCCTCATGTGCAATGAGCGCATGACTACTTAATGGCAAATTGCCATTTTTTCCGTCAAAGCATTCTATTATGAAAGAGCAAAAGAATGGCCCAATTAACTCGAGTCAGGTGCCACAGTATCTGTCACGCATATCGGAATTGCTTACATTATATTTTGAAAGAGACCAAATATCAAAAGTCAGCGATCATCGGGGCTGACTGAAAGTGGCACTCCGTCCTTGCAGCTGTGGCATACTGTAAGGGTATGGTAGGAAGAGGACGTTTCACGTGGCTATGAGAATTTTCTGTGATTATTTGGTTCAATCTCCACTTGAGGCCAATCAGGCTCTTTACACTCCGAAACGATGCCAGAGTGATACGGAGCATTGAACACTGACTCAACGTATTAACAAGGCCTTTATACGATTGACATTTTTTTAGATCAAATTACCATAACCTATCTACAGCATATTTACAGTAGCGCTGAGAGGCTGAGAAAAACAGTGGATGTTTTATCTAGATTCAACACAAAGGGAAACCTCCGACGTGGGTTTGACCCAAGATTATAGTCATTCTTATGAAAATCAAGTCGTGACACACCATGCGTGTCAAGCCGTCGTCAATGTGTTGAAAGCAGTGTCCCGGCAAAATTTCATTTTTCGGTTTTTTTAACTTTTCGGAGCCTTTCCGCCGTATGTAATTCACATTTGGGCTTTTCAGTGCATAGAAATGGCGAAAATTAGCTTTTTGCGAAGCTTTCCATGTCCGCATTCAGCGGGAAATACATGTAAGTGGGCGGCCTTGGAACGAAGGAGGCGGTATGCAGAAGACTTCGGGCGTATTTTCACTGAATGACCTGGAAAGCTGAATTAGGCTTATTTCTGCCAATTTCATGCGCTGAACCTCAAGGCGAGAATGTTTTGAGTAGGTGAAGAACTGGGAAGCGAAATTCCGTGGGGACGCTGCTTTTAATGACCGGTTGATCGTAGTAATTTGGTATGAAGGGTTACCTGGTAGGATTCTCATCTCCGGAAAATTTTGGACCTACAAACGTATGTACAAAACTCTAAATGGGATTAGTGCGTGCATTCACATGGTGTCGTCAATGTGCTGAATTGTAAATTTAAAAAAAAAAATGTTGAAGTAAGCGGGAGATAATGGTAGGCTAGTGCAAAAACAATGTTTGTTCTGCAAAGATCCACACTAAAAGCAGTAAGTTTCTCAAACTCTATACTTTTGAATGCGTTGGAAATCACTAGAAGCAGTGAAGAACTTTTGCATTGATTAACCCTTTCCTGTGCTAATATTATATACGGCAGGAAATTACGGAAGATATGGTATCCCATAATTTTTTTTCAACGTTTTTACCCTGAACATCAGCATTTGAGAACTGGGCATCTACAAAGGGTACAAATAGGTAATCGTACTCTTGTATGTAAGGTTTTTTGGGGAGCAAAACGATTTTTTGGGTTAAACTTCGTTTTTGGCTGCTATCAGATTCCGGCCTCAACAGATCACGTGGCCTACGATTTGGGCAGACTTTTGGCAGCTTCCTTATAGAGCTTGCTTTGCCCTATCGAATGATTACTTAAGTCACATCAATTGAAGGAAAGATACAAAAAGACAACGTTTATAGGAAAAACGATAAAAAATTATGGGGCACCCTGATCGAATACGAATGATTTTTTTCTGCCTCTTTTTTGGCAAATCATAATTTTTAAAGGGTTCGTTAGTATGAGCAATTACCCTTTTTTGTAACAGCAAGCCTAGGACAAGTATCGAGTGAAAACGCGACGAGAAAAATTTCTATAGTAGGCCCTGTACTTCCACATTGTGAATTTTTCCACTTTTAATATTGAGGAGCCGATTTTTTCTTGTGAAGAAAGTCCCAACAAGAGTCCTACTCTTATGCTTTCAGAAATGAGCAAAACTTTGGCAGTTGCCTTTTTATAAAAAAAGAATTCTGGCAAAAAAATAGCCGCGATCATCCATATTGAAGCATCGATTTCTCAGCTCAAATAGATTTAGATGATTAAACAATATAGGCAATTTCTATAACATTTTGCAACTATGTTTTTTTTATGAGAAAGGACATTATCTGCTTAAACCGAGGCCAAAAGACGGAATGCAATAAAATTTCGCTGTTGCTATAGTTTTATAAATCTCTAAAAGATGAAGCTGGAAGTTTACTTCAACAACTATTGGAAGGGCATGAGGGCCTTTCAAGTAGTGTGGGAAGCTAGTTCCGAAAAAATAAGCTTCTAAAGTGATTGCCGGGATGAAAGGCCCAGAAAAACAAATAGTAGTTTGAGCTGGATATCAGCTACAACTTTTGATTATCGTTAGCTTCTGGGATCAACCAAAAAAGTTAATTTTATCTCAACAATAGAAGAGAACATTCTTATCGGTCGACTGTTCTAAAAGCAAGTATACTTCAGTTCAGCTTGGATATTCGAATCTACTTTTCTGCATTCTGTAAGCTATCAATCTGTTTATTTGGCAGTCTTCTCTCATGTGACTCCGTCAAGATTTATGAGGATCGTGAGGCACAAAGTAAATATGACCATAAAATTTCTTATATGCTCATTCCGTGTGAGCGCTCACGACTTTTTACACTGACTTGTTTTCCATCACATTTATCCAAGCACAGAGTACAGCGCACTCAAAGAGGTATAAATTGTCGTCCATCCAGATGTCCCACATCTCCAAGTAGATCTACGTCTGTTAATCCAGTGAATACTATGGCTGCAACGAATATTGTCGGCGAACGCAGAAAAAGCTGGGACTGGCCTCTTCAGAAGAACGACGAATTTGTGGAGGTCATAGAAGATTCCGAACATTTTGAAGTTGGCTTAGATGTAAAGAATTTCACACCAAAGGAAGTCCAGGTATGGTTTTTAACAAGTCTCTATATCTGCTTCTTCTAATGCCTTGTTCTAGGTCAAAACGATGGGAGACCTTGTCCAAGTGTTGATGGAGCACGAAGCAGGTGAAGGTGATTTGAGTAGGAGTATCATGAGGTAAGCTCGAGATCTAGAGATTACTTTGTGACGAAAAGAAACTAAGGAGCGAACAAGCTGTGAAATTCTTAGCTGACCTGTAGACGTCCCTAAGAGTTGTATGGTCCACTCAAGTTATGAAATTTCACGTATGAGCAAATATGCAAATGGAAAAGGCAGAGAAACATAATATAACATCTTGATGGCATCTTTTACATTCAACAGAGAAGGTTTTAACTCGAAGTGACCCTACCGCGTAGGGGGTGTATGTCAAGAGGCGCGATTCTTATTGCCAGATGGGCAGCCTATAGCACATCTTTAGTGTTTTACAAGGTTCTGGAAACATTTGAAATCTCAGACGAGATATTTTTGATAATTGCACGGGTTGCTCCATCTTATCATCCTGAAATCGATTCCGAACAAAATTGTTGAAGGTCAAAAACCCCTGAAAATGCAGTTAATAGCAATTTTGTAAATAATCCGGTCAGTTTTCTGGCAGAAGTCGTCAAACTTATCAACTGGTTACTTCAAACAGTTAGTAAGCCATGGAATTTGTCCGGCACTTTTTAAACCCTCCCATAGCCCGAAACTGAGGTTTTAAGTTAGGGACAGCCAGAAAAAATCGCGCCTCTTGACCGTCTCCCCCGCGTAGGTACCATGGTGACCGCCTTGGAATGCAAATTACGGCTATGCTTTCGTTTAAAGACATTTGTCCGGCATGAGTGGCACTGTATTTGGTTCCTTATTGCAGAACTAGGAATTAGAGTAGCTCCAAAACATCCCCATCAATTTTTCTACATACAACAAATGTGCTTTCAAAACTGTGCCTACTGTTTGATTGCTAAAAATGCTTTCATGAGTCTTTGGGAAAGCTTCAGGCAGTAAAGTTAGCTTCACTAAGATTTGGAATATACAGCGTGTTACCCATATCACTTCATTACTGTAAGATACGGTAGGAAATTTAAAGAGGGTTTTGGGCCATGGAGGATCACATTTTGGCTCAGAAAGGAAACAAAACATTATGAAAACTTTCGCATTAGGCCAATCAGACTGATTCCGAACATGAATTTTGCAATCTCATTATTATGCGTCCTCAAAAGACTACGCCACGTAAACAATTGCAGCCGTTTTTCGTGTTGCCAAAAACTGTGGTTACACCGTTTAGAAAGCTTCACAATCTTGTAAAAAGCTGGGTATCAAACTTGGCGTCCTTGAAAAAGTTATTAGACAAATTTCCGGATTTTTTGAAATTACCTATCTAAAATGTAAGGTGTCTCACAGCGAGCCATGTGCCAAATGTTCTCACCGTACTCTTACAGAAGAAGAATCCGTGACTTGCTCCATATTGTAAATCTAAGCTGAAGCCAGTTCTCCAAAATGTATCTAAAGTTTCCCGAAACACTTTATGATTAAAAAAAAGTTATGAAAAATCAAGCCTAAGCAGATTTTTTGGACAGCTTGCATATCTCAGACATTCGGACATGAACTCTGAAGCAAATTCGCATTTACTACATACATACTTAGGTCATTTAGACTGTTTCTGACCATGCAATTTGGAAGCGGAAATTGCCTCTGACTTTGCTCATTAAATCGATAAGCAAGTATGAAAGATTGTTTTGTCAGCGCTTAACCTTTCGACTGGTAACTGGGCACTCTCACTGGGTATTCACTTCGAGTCAAATACATTCCCTGTTCAGCTGCGACTAGCATTGCTATTGCTGCTTTTATATCAGCTATTTGAACGTTTGAGGAACTAATATTTTTCTAAGCTGCGATCCTATGGATGGCGAAGCTTTTCAGGGTATCCAGCAAGATTCATAGGAGGCTGTAAATTTTGTTTTGAGTCTGCTAGAGATTTTTGCTAGTTTTCGATCAAGTCCACAACTTCTTGCCTTCAAGGTGCTACAAACTACCCGATGGTGCCGATGCAAGCACGCTGAAGAGCAATCTTGACGGCGGAATTCTTCACATTTCAGCCAAGAAGAAGCATTGATGATGGTATGCAGTTGAAATTGCTTCTTTGCATTCGAAAACCATTCGCGTGTTATTTTTGAAAGTGCAAACTTTTTCGCATTGTATCCATTGCATATATGTTTTATTTGCGCACATAAGTTGTACATATTTGAATTGACATAAGCAATAAAAATTGTTTAGTTTCGGTTGAAATACAGTTGGATCCAAAGTTGGAAAGATTTAAAAGAGATGGTCAAGAGCCGCGATTTCTCCAGAGGTCACCAATTCAGCAGTCCAATTCAGCGCTAAGAGAGTTTTTCAAAGATACCAGACCAGGGCCCGGCACAGATCGTCTGGAAGCAGGCTGGACTTCGTTTTTGGAGCAAAAATCAAAGGAGATATCGTTTTTGACGAGTCGGGGGCCAAACACCGAGAATAAGCGCCATTTAGTCCAACACAAGCTTTTCGGGCAGGTTATAACACATGCTCTATCGTGTATGGCGAAAAGTGCGCGCGATTTGAAAGCAAGACTAAAGTAAACAAATTGCTTTTCAGAGCGTAAACATAAGCTTTTGACACCAAATTTGTACCGTATAAGTAAAATATTATTTAAGGAAGACCTATGTAAAAAGTTTTGAAAACTCATGTGAAGTAATACCTTTTCCAAAATTAGATCGTCTCCAGACGGCCACCAGACGATCTGAGATCGTCTGGAGCATATATTTCTGTCACTTCACATAAGTTTCGGATCTTTTTAGCATGGACGGATTCCCCGATCAAAAATATATCCCTGAGCATAAAGACATTTTCATATCATTGCCTCTCCTTCGTTTTTTGCCTTGATTTCTTCATGAATCGCTTTGTTAGATATCGCGCTCCAATAGCAAACTCTTGTGCATGCATAATAATCAGCTCCAACTTGGATTTTCTTTCTTATCTCATGTTTTTTCCTTCATACTAGTAAATCTTTCTTGTTTCCATCTTCTTCTAAGCAGGTAGATCAAAGGGGACTTCGTAAAACTACCGAAAGTCAGGGGAGACTTCGTTTTTAAAAACTCTAGAAACCGCTCGTGCCGGGCCCTGTACCAGACCAAATGCTCTAGCTTACTAGCTATAGGCGATTCATAGCACGCAAAGACTGCGGACATGTCGGCGTCTCCGTGATCGAACGCTCTTTCGTTTCTCTTACCGTCTGCTGTCTCTTCTATGCACAAGCTATCTTCGTTGGACGCAACGGCGTTCAGTCTTTGCGTGTCATGAACCGACGATACCTGAAGTTACTACGTGCTAATTTTGACAGGTTCGGTGAAAACTCGATTAGAAAATTTACGAAAACGTCGTTACTTGCATTTTCGCGGATTTTTGACCCCCAACACTCATGATTTGAATCTAAAGAAGATAGAGCAACCCATGGACAATCGCACATAACTTTTTGGAATTTTTAATGGTCCCCAGAACATCATAAAATACTAAAAATGTGCTAACTGTCCATCTAGTAATAAAAATCGCGTCTCTTGACATACACCCCGAAGCTAGCAGTTTCATCAAGGTGTCCTTCTTTCCATTGAAAGTTGTGGCAGGCGGACTTTAAATGATTAAGAGAAGTGGTGGTAACTGGAGAAACAAAAACGAAAACGTTCTCATCCCAATTTCGTATGAATTACTTTATTACATCTATTCTGGCAATTAGTTTTATTTTAGATACACTTTTGAACTTTAGTTCCGTAATCATAATCAACTTGTGTCGAACTGCTACAAGAAATTGGCCCAAATGGATATCTTACCATACTGGAGATTTTTGATGACGTGCATTATTAATTTTTGCATTTCAAGATATCCTTCCTTCAGTAATCGATCGGGAAGCAGAGTGAGTTTGATTTCGGCAACCCCTAATCACCTAACTCAAAGATATTTGGATAAGTGAGTGTCGATTACCACACGAAAATTTCAATTAACTGCATGAAAAAATTATCTAAGGACGCTCTCTTATCTTGAAATTTCGGGGCAGATCCGCGAAGGATTCATTTTTCTCCATTCTTGCTACGGAAGCATTCACATTGGCAGTACTGCGTTCTCATAAAATCTACTGAATTCACCATACACATTAACAACAATGCTAGAAGATCTTGTACATGAAATCGAATTATTAGGTCGATCCGGTAGTTTTGTCGGTTTTTTGAAATGACTCGCAAATTCAGTACACACTAGAGATAAACAAACACCTCAAGCTATACCCGGCAGAATTTTTCCCACTTTTTAGCTGCCATGTTCCCTTGTGATTCACTGAGACGGTGCTGAGATAATCGCTGGAAATTACAACCCTTCGTTCTCACCATGTTTGACTTTTGCTAATTTTCGGAATTTCAAAGACTTTCGGGGAAGCTTTGATAGCCAAAAGATAGGGCAAACCATTTGCCAGCTAAAGCAAATCTAGTTCTGCGGCTTGTCTTTCAATTAATAAAATCTGCTTTTTGAAGCGACCAGATTTCATATCCCGCCCATTCTAACCTCGTAGAACTTGAAACTGTAAACAATACTGTTACTGTAAACAATACAGATATTGTTCAATGCAGCTTCTTCTCCTCTTTCTAACAATTGTCTTTTCTTGGTGAGACACGTGAAATTTGCGGAGAACATTACGTATTTCTCAATTTCAGGAGTGATTGATGAACCCTAAGTTTTGGGATCTTCATTTTGAAGCGAAAATCGGTCATTTACTTTGTAAGGATATTGATAGTAATGAATCGAGTGTTGAAACGTCAGTATTCTAAAGATTTTGTAGTGTTACGTAGTAGCAGGTCATGTGATTTTACCAAAACTCGAGACTCGAAAATTATTTAGCAAAACTCTAAAAAGTTGCTGGAAAAAGGAAAAAAGTCTTTGAATGGCAAAAGTTTGCCCTGTTTGCTGGTTATCAAAGCTCCCCCAAGAGTCTCATATAAAAATTTTGAATGTTAGCGGACATGGTGGAAATGAAGGGTCGTAATTTCTAGCGATTATCCCAGCGTTCTTCAAAACTATCGCACCGCAAACATAGTTGTTGGAAAGAGGAAGAAATCATGCATTTGATACTGCTTAAAGCATTTGTTTACCTTTAATGAGAGGAATTTACGCGTTATTTCAAAAGAGCGAAAACAACTTTCGGATCGACCTAATATTTACGCCTGTTTCCGTACCTCATGGCAATCCAAGAAGTTTTTTTTTTTCGAGGGAGGCGCGACAAAAACAGAAAATTTTTTCCTACGCCTTCCGAAGAAAATTTTTTGAAGGCGTGGCTTTGGAGGTAGTGTCCGGGCAAAAAGTCTTTGGGATTATGCGCTCATCCGGTCATATTCGCTGTGCTGAATCCGAAAAACCCACACTGGATGGCACGAAAACGGCAAAAAAGCGCTTAACGCGGAAGGGAAATCAGCAGGTGGACGGGTCTTTTTCGCTGTGAGTTCACTCTCTCAGTTTCCGGAGCGCTCTTCTCGATCCCGCTAGCCGCCTTGACATCGCCACCGGCCAAGTGCGAATGCGTGACTCGAAATCGGAACCGAGAAGATTGCTCTGAAAGCTGGAAGTGTGGATTCACAGTGGGGACGACCCCGCCTAACTGCTAATGTAGATTTTCGGATTCAGCATAACGAATAGGCTCGGTAAGCACAGAATCTCCCGTGACACTGCCTTCAAATGTTTTTCTAACATCAACCATGACCATGAAGATTGTGGGCGGGGGTGTGGCGGCAGTTCGCCCGAGAATTTTGATTTACAAGGCTGATTTTATCTTAGATAATTACAACCACGAATCACTCTGCTTTCAGATCTTTCAGATCTCAATTTCTATGATTATTGCAAGTTTAGATACGTAATATTACAATAAATACAACGCAGTTAATTTACAGGCTCCAATTCTTTGTCTCAAAAAATCTATAAACAATACTAAACAAAGCAGAGATCTCATGTCAGCATACAAAAGCACAGTCGAGTAGATTTGTCGGTAATGATAGTGTCGTTGCGGTGCCGGGATTTTGCGGTAAAGCGTGCGTATGAACAAAGATCAACGTTTATAATGCCTGTAACTTGCACGCGCAAAACACCCGCATTTCATGCGTGGCTCTTTGCCCACGCCAAATTTATCTCGGCACCGCAGGGGCACTATATTTACTGGTAAATCTACTCGCTTATTGATACTTTGTAACAAGCACATATAAAGGAAGATGGCGTGAGCTACCTCAGATTCTTCAGTATCTCATGTGCGGCTTCAAGGGTTTCATCGGTTTTCATAAAGCAAAGACGAACTGTGTCCTCATTTCCCACTTTGTTTTCCTTACTGTAAAACGCAGAAACCGGTATAGTCGCCAACTTCTTTTCCTTACAAAGCCATCGTACAAAGCGGAAGTCGATGGGTTCATCACCTGACGCTTCATCTTTGAAGGGGCCGTTGATGTTTTCAAAACGGGCTATAATGAAGTAGCCTGCATCGGGTCGAATGGGTTCGAAGCCTGCTTCAGAAAGCATTTTATAGAGCCGATCACATTTATCGCGAAGTTCATTTGGAAGTCCAGTAAGGAGGTAAGACTGCTCCGGATGTATGGAAAATAGTTCAAACTCCTTTTCAAAGACAACAGCCACCGCTTCTTGTGTTGGGGCACTGCAGGTGAAGGCGCAGTTCTGATGCACCATTTTGAGAGGGTTAAGGATTTCTTTTGGAGCTATGGACCATCCTAGTTTCCAACCAGTGATGGAGAAAGCTTTGCCAGCGCTCCCAATAGAAATGGTTCTTTCATACATTCCAGGTAGGGTCGCGAAGCGGATCATTTTCTTGTCCCAAACATGCCATTCGTACACTTCATCGGCAACGACAATGAGGTTAAACTCGCAGGCGATCGTTGCAATGACTTCTAACTCTTCCCTGCTGTAGAGCTTCCCAGTCGGGTTATTCGGATTGTTTAAGACAATCATTTTCGTCTTCGAGGTGATTTTTCTCCTCATTTGTTCGATATCCAATTCATAGTCTCTGCTAGGCTGTGCATTTTTCCGTAATTCCATGACACAGTGCACTGGCACCCCGCCAGCCAGCGCCACTTGCGGAGCATAAGCATCAAATGCTGGATCAATAATTAGCACTTCATCGCCTTCATTAATATAGCCCATAAAAGAATAATAAAGAGACTGACAGGCACCAACAGTCACCAGCACTTCCTCGTCGGCATCGATTTCTCGTTTATACAAATTTCCGTATAATCTCGATAACACTTTGACGAGACGGGGATGTCCAAAACAGCGAGTGTATTGGTGCCAAGACGTTTTTTCCGGATGTTCAGCGACGGTCTTCAATATATCAGCAACGAATTTGGGCATGGGACCATCAGTGAAACCCTGGCCTAGGTTGGTCGCTTCACATTCCACAGCAAGGGAGCCAAACTCCACCCAGATATTGGGTTCTGAGTTTTCAACGCCTTTTGCTGGTGAAAATGAAGGCATGAATTGTTAAGTTGTGGATGAATCGCAACGACTTTTTTGCTTTTCTTCACCCTTGACGCCTTGTGTAATTGCACAACGGTCAGGAGTTGAGGCAACTGTAGCTGAAGTGTCACTGTCGTACTTGGGATTTACTACAAAAAGATGGCATGAATTGTTGCTTTGTGAATGGAAAGGAAGCAAATTTTGAATTGCAACGAGTTCCGCGTCTTTTCTCCGCTTGCGTTGACGAAAACCTTGACTTTGTGTAATTGCACAAGTTCAAAAGACGGCAACAGTAGTTGCAGGGTGTTTGTCGTTCTTGGGGTTTCTTTTCTCAATTAGTAAATCTATGTTCTTCTCTTTACTCAAGACCAGAGAATAGTATGCGACCTCTAAATCATATGTCAAGGGTTTTTGCAGCTCTAAAAATAATCTCAATGACGTGAGAATCTGTATGAGAAACTAGTCTAAACTTCTCGAGCAAGCATATACCAGTCTAATACTATTGGGGTGATCACTAAAAAATGGGGCAGCTTGATTTTTGTCAAATTTTGAGATAGTTTGTTTCGATCAACAATAAGCAGGCTGCAACGTAAACGTCGCTTATATAAGCGACCTTCGCCTATTATTCTGGCAAAACGTCAACGCTCCTCTTCCACAACCCTACGCATGGCGCCCTGAAGAACTCGAGCAGGGTCTTTTGAACCTCGCTCATTCTTGCACTGCCATACCGCAAAATTATAGAGCGTGTTGTCGTATAGTGGCCTTTTTAGGTCACTATGCGACAACCTTGACGGGGCCATAAAGATATGGCCCCGTTTGAGGTATAAAAGCCCGGGGGGAGAGCAAGGGAGGCGCTCGTTCATACCCACCGTTTGTTGTTAATCATATTATTGTGCCATATAAATAAATTTGTTCATCCACACCACTGTTGAAACATTTTTTGGTGCATCGGCCGGGAAGAGCCTTCGCCGATCAAAAGTCTAGGACATAAACCTAGCAAAAAGTCCAAGAAACCCTTGGCAAAGAAAGTCTAGGCTACCACGCCTAGCATCAAGACCAGGAGATCCTTGGCACAAAAGTCTAGGCTACCACACCTAGCATCAAGACCAGGAGATCCTTGGCACAAAAGTCTAGGCTACCACACCTAGCATCAAGACCAAGAAATCCTTGGCACAAAAGTCTAGGCTACCACACCTAGCATCAAGACCAAGAAATCCTTGGCACAAAAGTCTAGGCTACCACACCTAGCATCAAGACCAAGAAATCCTTGGCACAAAAGTCTAGGCGACCACACCTAGCATAAAAACCCAGGATACTCCTGGCACAAAAGAAGTCTAGGGCATAAACCTAGCAAAGACCAAGGAAGTCTTGGCAAAGAAAGTCTAGGGTAGAAACCTAGCAAAAGACCAAGGAAAAACGTGGCAAAGAAAGTCTAGAGCATAAATCTAGCAGAAAGACCAAGAAAAGCTTGGCAATAAAGTCTAGGCAATCAAACCTAGCAAAAAGGCCAGGAAAACCTCTGGCACGTATCTAGGCTAGCAAACCTAGCGAAAAGACCAGAAAAGACTCCTGGCATTGAACTAGGGCAACCTAGTGCCAACCATATTCAAGTAGTAATCATTTTTGATTTATTGCTCGGCAAAAGTAGCTGTAAATAACGTTCTATCCTACTTGGATTTTCAACGCAAGTGCTTTGCTTGATGGCAGCACAGTTGGTTATGTAACCTAGGGACACATCCCACATTCGCGCATAAAGCGAATACCTAAGGTTTATTGAACGTCAGATATTTCTATTACTGGCGAAGAAGCCTCAACAACACAAAATGTCTCTGAACTTTTATAAAGAGGAGATTTTGTCGTTGTCAACATTACTGGCGAATATACTGAGCAAGTTCAATTACTTGAATGATTTTCATCCTGATCTGAATCGCAGTAGGGAGCAATCGCAAGAATGTTTCGGCAGATTGGATGTTCTCAATACATGCCTTTCGCAAGTGAAAGTCGGGGCAAAAATGTTGCACTCAAAAGTAGATAAACTATCAGACTTTTACATGGCACACTGCTATGAACAGAAACAGTTGATAGTGCGTGAGGTAGAAGCGCTGGAAGAAGAAAGTGGATTTTGCGATATACTTTCCAAAGCAGAAGTACTTATTCATATGGCAGAGCTACAAATGAAGTATGCTCGAATATACGCAAAAAAGTGCGCAAATCCATCGCCTTCACAGACGAAACAAGGCGAAAATGTCTTGGATGTTATTAATCCAGTAACGGACGAGGAGTCAGAACGCGAAATACCCGCGGAACCTGGTGTAAAAGAAAATGACGAGGCAAGCAAAATCATCAAGCCCACAAACGATAATTATGAACAATGCAATACCTATAATACAAAGACTCGTACGCACGAAACCTGTGCTGATGTAAAACTTGACGAAATTTCAATCAAAAGCGCCCGAAATGAAGAAGTGCCGATGCAATTTGGGGCTGCCTACAGCAAACCGTATCTCCTATCGGAAAATTACACTGCAAAGGGTAGCGAAAATACTCAAAAACTGCGATTGTTCCGCAAGATATTTATCAAGCTTGCCGATCGTAAACATCGGCAAGGAAGACAGTGCTGTCTTTATTTTTATCCGCTCCAACACACCTCTTCAAATTCTCGACTCATCTCCGACAACGAAGTGGTTCCCGTCTTCACGCGCACGCCCCCTCATCAACGTCCAATTAGAGACCCCGATAAGAACACTATGCCGGACGTACTACCGCTTACCCCGATGAAGATACCAAGTCGTCATCCTTATTCGCCTATCTGCTCCACTCCTCAATCCAACGTCACCACTTACCACTATCTGTTACCAAAGCAAGCCTTCATGCCGTAAAGTCGCCATCCATTCCACTGCCATGTCGTCAAGCTGCAATTCACTACACCACTACGCCACCAAGCCGCCGTAACGCCAGCCAAGCCAGTCGTCACTCTGCCTCATCCACTACCACGCCATCGAGCCGCTAGTCACCCAGCCACCCAGCCACGCCAAGCCAGTCGCCACCCAGCCACGCCAAGCCAGTCGTCGTCCAGCCACCCAGCCACGTCAAGCCAAAAAAAGGGTTTTTTTTTGTTACCCCTCCCTTGCCCCCCGGGCAGTGTTGTCGTATAGTGGCCTTTTTAGGTCACTATGCGACAACCTTGACGGGGCCATAAAGATATGGCCCCGTTTGAGGTATAAAAGCCCGGGGGGAGAGCAAGGGAGGCGCTCGTTCATACCCACCGTTTGTTGTTAATCATATTATTGTGCCATATAAATAAATTTGTTCATCCACACCACTGTTGAAACAGAGCGATTGATATACCATTCGAAAGAGCTCTTCATGCTCTTTCAAACAGTATATCAAACATGCAAGATTATTTTCTACTTCTGAGTAAAAAAAGCGAAATACCTAAAAAAATCGCTATTTTTGGCGCAACAAAAGCCATTAAATCAAGTTTCAATCTGTATTTTCCGAAGATAGATAAAATGTGAGGCAAACTGCATATGGATGGATAGAGCGTTAGAAGCTCTTTCACATGGTACCTATAGAACATGCGTTCACCTGCAAAGAATTGAATAACGCGTATCTTTGTTCTCGAAGCTACTAATGGCTATATCTCCTGACTTTGAGAGTTGAGGCCATCAAGCTGTCGTGGGTTTAGTGACTGTCCCACCACCCACTCCAGCAGTGGTACTTTGTGTGGTCTCACATGTTTCACTGCGCAGATACTGCCTAAAGTTTATAATTTGTCAAAGTGGCTAACTTTGCATTTCAGCCACTATAAAAATTATTAGTTATGTAAATGACCTTATATAGGTATTTTCTGAAAGAGAATAATCTATTCTAACATCTATCAAAATTGGGTGTTTAATCATTTTTCTTTTTTGAGAAATCTACATTTATTCTCTAGGTGTCCCATTTTTTAGTGATCACCCTAATAGTACTGCAGCCCAACCATTGTAACTGAAGAGTTTATGTTTTCACTCTGATCATGAAGGTGCTCCAAACAATATTAACACTCTTTGAAGTCTTGTTTGGAGCATTTTATCTTTGGCTGTCACCCTATCGTACGTCCTTACTTTCTGTCTGAATAGTTGGAACTGTTTTGGTATTTACCTTTTCTCCGTTCTCTGCGGTTTTATCAGTGGGACCAATTTTACAGTTAAGACAGATTTTTCAGGTTGCCTATGGCGACATCCCTCTCGAGCCAGCTTCAGTCGCTTCGAACAGCGACCGCAAAACATCAGACCGTCGAACGTCAGCATGTATCGCTGCTCTTTGAAAAAGAAGAAGCGAAAGCACTCGACAGAGAGTCTGCCTTCCAAATAGGTAGTTGCTTTTCTGCTCATTTGTGCTCTGTTTCACCTGTCTTTGCACCCTGCTCGTTCTATACTACACTTTCTTGCAGGATGTGCTGGACTGCAGAAGTTGAAAGAGCTGGATTCAGTGTTTGAAACACCTAACGACCTTTTTGACGAGTCGAAACTGCATTATCAACGTTCGATGATTACCAAGGATGAAAATGCTGCTCTCAACGAGAAAATCGAAAAGCTTTTGTTCCACCTTTCACCATATTTGCAACACTTTGCTTGTCAGCAGGTGTTAGAATGGCTCATATACAAATATCAGGTTAGTCGGCCATCGGTTAGTATATTTTGTATCTTCTATTTTTATCTTCACAGATTTACGCGTATAACGCTGAAGCAGTTATATTGACATTTCTGCCATTTCACGAGACTAATTTGTTTGGTCGAATACTTTCTATAATCGAGTACAACTTCACTACATCGAAAGACTGGGGTTTCTTGGAAGAGTTTCACAAGAAGAGTTATCCGGTGCCGTTCAGCATGGTATGTTTCGTTTCCACCCACATCTATCGGCTATCCCATGCTTTAGATCCTGAAAGCAACCATGTCAAGTACCCACGCTTTGATTACAAAGATCACCGACCATATCAATAGAGGAATTCAAGTTTGTCTTACAATCATCATCCCTTCTCCATACATTTTTTAAAGACATTCTTACAGCTCGTTGGAGATGAATTTCTTGAAGCGAAGTGTCATATGTTATTTACATTCTATGCAAAGTTGCTCGTCAACGTTTTGAAGGATACTAATAGGATTGACGATGTTCTTTTGTCGAAAGTAATCCCACTTGTTGCTGTAGGCATGAAGTAGGTGTGCCCTGGTGTCATCTAGATTTGATACTAGAATGGTATTCCAGAAGTTCACTTCCTTCGTTTCGACAAGCTTCCTTAATAGTTATCTGTCAGCTGGCTACTACGGTGAAACTCACATCGGATACTGTTTCATCTCTCGCGAAGATCACCATTATGGTAAATTTGTCTCATCAACTACATATTGTTCTTTTTCTTTCTGCCAGGATACTTTAGTAGATTCGAGTTTCCATTTGACCATCCTCTCAGTGGCCGTACTGTTCTGTATTTCGGTAACAAATTTCAGAAATTCCGCAAAAGCTCCCTTGAAAGTTCTCTTTCTGCTTTGGTTGTTCTCTGCCAGCAACAAATGCCTGAGAGCTTCTCCGTCAAGTGAGTCTCTTTCTTTTTGGATTTATGACATCATAAGCAGTAAGTGTGTACAGAAAGATGTTTATTTCATATGTTACATTCTTTCTATAGAGTAGAGTATACTGCCTGCACTCTCGGGGAAATCGTATCTAAAATTTACTTGGAAAGCAAGCAATCTAGTCCATACTTTTTCATTTTATTACTTGTTGCTCAACTGGGTCGTGTATATAGAAGTCAGGCTTTTTACCGTTTCCCTATACCCTAAGTTTAGGGCTACTTTGAAGACGTTGCGCAATGCAAAAGAGCTGGACATCACGGCAGTCGTGAAAGATTTGGCGAAGAAAACAGATCTCAGTGCTTTTCTGAGGCCGTTGTGGTCTTCGTTGCTCGCCATTGCGAACGAAGGTAAACTTTCTCGTCTTCAAGCGTTTATAAAGGTGATGTGCTCAGAAGCTTATGAAGCTGACCACAAGGAATGCTTACATGCGCTCCGAACATCGTCTGACCCTGAGATGTTAAATGGCTCGCAAGCTACGTTCTTCCTATCTAAGTTGCTGGAGCTTTCGAGTTTGGAAGTGCTACATAGCAATAAGAAGTTCGCCAAACATGTTTGCAGCATAGTTGCTCGGTGGGTGAAAAATCCATTCTTTACGGTTCAAACTAAGTTCTGTCCTAAAAGATTCTTTCATATTATTGATTTCACAAGGCCTGCTCTTTCTTTAGGTTCATTGTAGCATTCTTAAAAAATTAGCTTCTCTGCAGCATCTTGTTGCTTTGTAGACGCATAAACTCGAACAATGCTAAACGAAGTATTGCTGTCATCGTAGTGTTGAGGTTTTCCTTTTAAGGTTTTCGGACCAGTGGATGGACTTGTATACAGAATGGAAGTCGAGAGACGCAAACCTTTTGTCTTCATTTGTCGAGCATTATCAGTTGCAGAAGTATATAGTGGTAGTCAAAAACTCTATCTGTGGCGCAAGCGTCTTGCACAGTACGTTCTAGGTAGAGGAAGAAGCGGAAGCCAAGAAGAAGCGCATGCGCCGGCGATCAGGCTCTTTGCGCAAGAGCATTTCGGAAGCTGTGGTCCCTAAAAAGCCTTCCAAACCAGTGAGTTCGTGCAAAAGTTTCAAATAATTTTCGTTCTCTGACTCTGTGAAATACTTAAAGGCAGCGTCCAGGCAAATCTGGACATATGGGGCCCTCACGTGGATAGTAATCTTGGGGCCCTAACTAAGCCACTGCTTAAGCGGCAGCTCAGGAGTGCTCTAACGGTTGAGATATTTGTCTCGAAACTGGACCTTGGGATCTTATATCGCGTGGATTCATGGTGCAGCCCATCAGTTACGCGCGAGGACACAAGGGTTGTGCCGTGAATCCATGCGAAATACGATTCCAAGGTCCAGTTTGACAAATATCTCAGCCGTTAGTGCACTACCTGAGCTGCCGGTTAGGCATTCGCTTAATTAGGGCCCCAAGATTACTATCCACGTGAGATTCCCATACTCCAGATTTGCCTGGGCGCTGCCTTGATGATATCTCATTTGCTATCTCAAGTTACGGCGAAACAGATGCATAAATATCTAAGATAATTACGCAGTTTTAGGAAAGTGCAATTGCTCGTGCTGAGGAAATGGCTGCTTCATCTGAGTTTGCTCGCCGGCAAGCGTTTTCTGGAGATCCCATAAAAAAGGCTCGAGACTGGATCAAGAAAGAGGATTGGGAAAATGTGAGCGAAATTGTTAATTGAATTATGGATGAAGAAGTTTCTCCTTTCTCACCGTCAGGTATCTTGGGCTTTTGATGAAATAAGCTCGCGAAAAGCTTACTTTGCGAACAAGGCTTCTGAGGATGTTGAAGACTTCGTCTTGGAAGTTGTCAAGCTGGTATCCAAATCACCTAAAAATCCTGCACTGAATGCTGCTCGTACGGCGTTTGCTGAGGTAAGCAGAATTGAATAAAGAGATTGGATTCAAGCATATGCTGCATTTAGGTGAATTTGCGATCTGATTTTGGGGTCAACTTGCTCAAACGCCACGAATCGCCAGAGCCAAGTCCAAAGAAACCGAAATCATTGAATTCGAGTGATATCTTCTTTGAGGTACTGCTATTGAACATTTTCTCGTGGGTGTTGCCCAATTCTTGATATCTCCATAACACCACCTGCAGGCTTTCCACTCCGAATCGGATGAAGATTATCAAAAGAGGCTCGGCTTTGTGGTTGAAATGCTGACCAATACGAAATCAGTCGCTGTTGATTCTGGCGTCTTTTCCTTGTTGTTCGATCTGATCAAAGAGTGAGTGGTGTAAACACGTAGTGTTGACTACACTGCTTATGCATACTTACTTTTTCTCTTTCTCGGACCTTTCATCTCTTATGTGCAGTTTTCATCGCAAGATTACAGTATTTGGTAAGGTCTCAACTTCTCTGAGTATCCTTTTTTCAAAGTTACAGTAATCGCATGAACTTCCTTGCTTCATCAGAGAGTGACTGGTTCATTTGAAATGCTTTGTTAGCATTCATCAAATTAACTCTTTGTTTGAGCTAAAATATCAGCGATTACTTCGGGACACCCATATCTTATTGTTGTTGCAGGTTCAATGAAAAAGATGAGACTTTGACTATGCGCATAGTGAATCTACTTCTGAAACTCATCAAATCTCCAGGTTTGTTACTTTTCTTTGGGTTCCTGTTTGCAGGACTACAGATTCAGGTGGAAAATACAAAGTAACTTCTGCTGACCTGAAGATGGACTATGTTATTGAAATGATGCGCAGTACACATAGTCACCACATATTGAGAGAATGCTTACGCCTTCTGACCGCCGCTGTACGCATATCACCGGTAAGTACTGCTCCTACTTTAGTTATTATTTGAAGCAAAAAACGTTATATGCCATTCCATTTTCTTTCCACAACTTTGTTTTGCAGACTAGCGTAACTTCTCATATGATGTCCGTGTTTACGTTCATGGGAAATGGACTGCTTCGCAAAGACAATGAGCTAACCCTCCGAATCATTGAAGACACCCTGGAAGCACTTTTCCATGCTGTATGCGAAGAGGACGGAAAGGTGAGTTCTGACTTCATAGTTATATTCAGGGTTGAGCAAGAGGTCAGGCGCAGTCCGCCCGAAAACGACCCCCCCTTCATGGTCGTGTTAGATACGACCCCCCCCCCCTTTCTCCCCCCCCCCCCTCCCCACCTTTCAGCTCTCGCCTTTGTTATCGTTAGCAAACAAGATCAAAAACACAAACACAACAGATCTTTATTGATAAACAAAAAACCATTAACAAAATAACTTTATATACATTAACGGATGGTGAGGCTCTGGCCGCTCAGACCCCCCGAGCGGAGGGTCTGAGTGCGCGACGGCTCGTACTCGAGCATGTTTCTCTCAAAATAAGGGAGGCCCGCCCTCCCTCCCTCGCCTCCCCCGCTTGCTTTGTTGTTCGATAGGACACGACAGGCGATATATCCCAGGAAAAACTGAAAATTGTAGTATATGTAACATTTGTAATATCAAAGACTATGGTGTCAATCACGTACTCCTTTCTTCGTCGACACTGTCGCTACGTTAGAGCTGTGCGCCACGGTCGCGCGCGTCCAACCTGAGCAATCGAACTGGCCTCATCGTTGAAGGTCTGCACGCCTGGCTCTCGCGTTGCGGACACGTTGCTCCTATGGAAAAGGGAGGACGTGATTGACACCAACTGTAGCTATGTGAATAAAAAAAGATAAGAGCAATTAATGGAGCATTCAATGCATCAAGTAGGTGTAAAGCTTCATTGTAACGTGCGTGAGAAATCTAATTTCCACAAACTAGAAAAACTTCCAAAAACATTTGAGCATAGTTCGTACATGGTATTCTTGATTTTCTAGTGATTTCTCGATAAAAAGAGGGATTAGCTTTGCGCGCTCTAATTCAGAGAGTTACCCAAGATCGTGCACGGATTGACAATGTTTGTGGGTTTGAAACACCAAAAGCAAGTCCAAACCTGATGCCGTGCGATCTCCTTCCTGAGCTACCAAACGGACGTCCTCGTAAGAACGAAGTGATTGGGGTAAAAGATCCATCACGTGGAGAGTCGGCAAGCCTCAAAAGAGACTAATCAACAAGTGTCAACCGTCAATCATCAACCGATTATCACAACGAACTGCGTGTATATGTATATGTGAACGGTGAACTTTACTTACCAAAAGTACAAAACCTGATTGTCCAACAACAATTGTGTATACATTCATTTGCTCATACTTATGCACTGCATGACATGTAGGGCATCAGTGTTAAGTATTTTCTATTGAACTTGAAGTCTACAACGGATTATGTGCTAAGAGAACAAAGAGCCTGCCTCTGAAGCATTTAGCTGTGAAAGAAATATACTAAGCTCTCGTAGCGCACTATGGAAAAACGTAGTCATCTCCTAGCTTGCTAGGAAAGTCATGGACACTGTGGAGGAACAGAAAGATCAAAATGTCTCTAGACGTAACGATCCCATTAGATTAGCCTAACATCGCTATCCACTTTCAAGTAGACCATCCAATGCCCGAATTCTGCATAAGGTCAAATCCAATCACCAGGCTAGCTAAATCCGCGCCAAAAATTCTGGAGCTGATAAACCTACTCAAATAAAGAATGACAATGGTTTGCGAGTCAGAGTTCCAGTAATTGCACTTTTTGACCCATGCTTTCCTTTTTTCTCATCCACCTCTTGTCTTCCCATACGCAACTCTACCAAGCCAGATAGGATTGCGGTAGAGGTGCGAGCAAACCAGGTAATTCATCAATTAGAAATCCCAAAAAAAATTTCAACAGCGTTTGCTAGCTCCCACTGATTCACTAGAAGCGCTAACACTAAATCTGTATCACCAAGGCAACTGTAAATAGCAGTAGAAGTTTTTAATCAGTCTGCCTACAAACTTAGCTGTTTCGTCTTAGCTAGCTGCTACCAGTACACCGAAGGTAACAACCGCACATTGTGTGATGTTGATATTGAGATGGTAAGAGTTGATAAAAACCAAACTTCAGAAAGTATTGGAAGAAAAAGGGATGAAAACAGATACGTAACTCACCAGACGTCCTTCTCGAGATGAAAATCGTCAGCGTTCTTTCCAAGCAGGTCACAAAACTTCGGGCAATGTTTTTCGTACGGAAATGGTATAAGCTCTGGAGGCGGTTTGACATCCTCACTGCTGTTAGAAGAATTGCGACGAATGGACGTCAAAGAGTCTAGAAATCATCAAGATCATAAAGTAATTTCTATAAAACTTCAAAAAAGATTTTTTAATGGAAACGAAAGCATTGGTTGGGTTACGAATGCAATGGCGTATAAGACCCCTTCCAGAATAGATATCAGCAAAAGTGTGAATTTCTCCAGCTTTCTCCACATTCATTTCTTGCTCGAATCATTCACGGAGAATAACAGCACATGCCCAGACCATTCCCAGGCAATTTAAAGGGAGCTTCGTGCTTGAAAGCACCCACGCAAATGACAAAAGTATATGTACAGTATAAGTACACCCACATGTATAACTTCCATCATAAGAAGCTGGCACATACGAGTCATCTAAAAAGCTAGAATAGCTTTTTAGATGACTCGTATGTGCCAGCTTAGCTAGCTAGTCGAGTCGAGCTATCAGCTGGGTCATCTAAAAATCTGATAAAAGAGAGAAAGTCTAAGAATATTCCTATGTTCTCCCCAAAAAAATAAAGCAAATAAAAACTATATCACTTGCACCAAAAGAAACTAGCACTTTTTTTCAAGCATATGCTGTGTGCAAACAGGCGACTATGATTTTCCAGTATGCAAGTGAGCGTGAAGGAAGTGGACAAAAAACTCACCTCATTGTAGGTGATATCGTGTTCGGGTCTGCAGTTCTTCTCATCCAGAATTTTCTGCATCATCCCAACACTCGTCAAATTTACGTTCCCATTCAGTTGGATCAGATGCGTATGCGACACTCCTACTCTCCGGGACCACCTCTATAACAAGAACCAATTCATGCCACTCTCGGAAAAGAAATAAAAAAGCTGAGTAATCATAATCGCTTTAGAAACCATTATTTTATCAGATAGCCAAAAATACGCTCACCTTTACGCGGTAATCCATTCAAAGTAGCCGGTGTAGTGGCAGGCGAAGGGCTTGGAGAGCCCGGCCATGACAAGCACCGTATCATCGAAGTCTTTCATGCACTGTAGACTTCTAAACATAATGTTAAAACGAATTCTCGGCAGCAAAAGCATTTGTTGCATATATTGGAGAGAAGACCTCTTTCATTGGTATAAGGAACAAAAAAAATGAAACTTCATCAACAATAACAATCAAGAAGCAATGTAACAAATAACATGAGACATACGATAAAAATTTCATAATTCCAGCTGATTTGTTAGAATCTTTAGGGTTCCTTCATACTACGCCGCGCACGCCGCGTACGCGGCGTGCGCGGCGCAGTATGAAGGAACCCTTAGCTTTGCTGGATGATAATACGATGTAGAATTTCGCAAGAGAACCATTCCTCCAGTGTTTCGGACAACTTCCAGGACGCATAAAGGAAGTATGAAAGTGCTCTTCCAGATGCAGCGTAGAATGAAAAGTCACCACGTACGATTCTGTCAATGATCAGCCTAAAAATTCGAAACTTGAAAGAATGAAGCAGCATCTGAACATTATCAAAAAATTGAAACTTTCACAATTATTCACAAGCCATTGAAACATTACAGCTGTACAATAGTATAGTACACCTCAAAGTCAATTTCCATAACTTTTGGGCACCAAAAACCTATTCCAACCACTTACCATTAGAACAACCTCAACAGCTCGTATATTCGTATGAGCGCAATTTGAACCGGTGCGGCTTCGTACCCGTTTTCCTCCATGCCTAGAAGAAGTAAAATAGAAAAGAAACAAGAAAAAACTTCACCTTGGTGACAGCTGGCGGCAGGGACGGAACAATGGAACGACCGGGTCGAAAAATGGATTTTGGCGCGTTTCGCAATTCCGTGCAGAAACACTGCACGTGATGCGTATTACAGTAAGACGAAATTAATGGAGCAAAAAGCGACGATTCCCTTCTGTGAATGGGTGGAATCAACCATTGACAACTTCTTCGAGAGATGATGAAACTGGATGAAATTTTGGATGCGGGGAGAGGAAGGATCAATCAACAGTTTGAGTGTGAAAATGGAAAGTTTTGAGTTCTTTGAAGATAAGTTAATGGGGTCAGGCGCAACCCCTCAAAAGCTCAGGCGGCCTGAGCTTTTGAGGGGTTGCGCCTGACCCCATTAACTTCATCTCAAAGGCGACTTTTTCGAAGAAGTCTGATATGATTAGTTAGCACAAACATCGTAAATGTGATAGTAGGTATGTGGAGTAGATTCGTCTTGTTTTGGCTTTCTAGGAGCTCATGCAGAAAATCCAGTCGAGGTGAAAAACGCCATTGTCGAAATTTTTATGGGGCTTATAAAAGCATTACTTTAGAATGGTTTGAGACGAAATTGCTAGAGTATATTAGTGAAGAGTAATACTTTGTAATAAGTGTAAAAAGGTTGACTTTTGTGATCGTTGAAAACAAGTTAATCATGCTTGAAAATAGCGCCTTCCATGCATTAGAGAAGATGGAAAATTGTGATAGGATCTTATAAAAACGGTCCACAAAGGGTTATTTATTATCCTGATTACGAAAATAGCCTTCACTTCGCTGGTATGAGACCTGGTGGGGTTACGGTAGGTATACGGTAGGTTGTGTAAATCCTGTCAGACCAATCCAACTCTGCCGTTTTTGTAGCTGCTCGGCATCGGAGAATCTCCTCGAGAGCATGGCTTCCATGCTTCCAGATCTTAAAGAAGTACATTTTTGCGCACATGTCCAAAAATGTGTGCAATTATTCTACTAACCTGTATGAATTAGTCGCTTTCGTCTGACCACACACCTGCCTCCCCATCCTCTTCAATCTCATCGCTTTCAGTTTCCGATGAATTTGGAGTATCCAGCTGCTCGCGATGAAATGTTATGTATTCTGGCTCTGGTAGGAGCCTTTCCCACGGATTATGCCGTGGTTATGCTTCTTCTGGCAGCGGGAACTGCAAAAAGATTTGTTCCATTGGAAAGTACTTCATGTTCTTAACTCCTTCGTCTATCCAAATAAGAGGGAGTGTGGGGTGCATCAAGCCACCGAATTCGCTATAGTGTTCTGCGACTGTCTCCTGCTCACTGCATCTTCCACAAGAGCAGGCGATCTGTGCTGTGGACCTTTCGTGCAATTGCATTGCGCGAAAGGGTTGTTTCAGACTGCCGCACTGACTGCAGCAGACTGCAGCAGACTGCAGCTGACTGCAGCTGACCGCACTGACCGCACTGGTCGCAGCCTCTTTTCTTAAAAGAAAACAACCGCGATTACCAAAACAGCGTGATTTACGCATAAGAAGATCATAAGTTCCATCAGATTCCCTTCTCAATCAAATTTTGGCGATAGTTTTTTTGGTATGTTCGTATCTGTTCTAATTCCTCCTATCATTGCATATACCTGTTTTGTAACATTCTAAACCGTGTTGTCTTTTGCTTTCACGTATATATTGTTGTTGTTTGTTTAAACCACAACTATTTATCCTCTCCGCCTGGATGCTACAGCCGCTGCGGTCGTTGCGGTCAGTGCGGTCAGCTGCAGTCTGCTGCAGTCAGTGCAGTCAGCTGCAGTCTGCTGCAGTCTGCTGCGGTCAGTGCAGACTGCTGCAGTCAGTGCGGCAGTATGAACAACCCAAAGGACTGCAATGGTCTTCCTGTAGCACCGTTTAGGCCCGCTTCCGCAACAGTGAGAACCTCGTAGATATAGGCTCTCATGCGATATATAGGCACTGCCTCAGGTTGCTGGCCGTCCAAGATATCTATCATTGTCGATAGACTGATGATATGAGAGCGCTGCAGTCGATCGCGAATGTCATCCAACCGTACAACAAATGCGTCCTTTTCCATTTCCACAATTTCCGGATGCATAATGGTACAGTGGTGTAATTTTGCTACAATTGCATTTTGCATTTCATATACTTTTGGACGATTATGATCCTACCCCCAAATACGACCCCCCCCCCCCCCGGTTCCACCCCTAATACGACCCCCCAGGTCAGGCGCGCCTGACCCCACGCTCAACCCTGGTTATATTCCTTGCAGTAACTGCGAAGTGCGTATGCTATAACATCGTATCATAAATTTGCAGTTGTATCGCTTCGTTAGTCGACGCATACATGGTTTCAGACTTTGCCTATGCAAATGAGGCTCCGTCTTATTGAAGTCGCTCGTGTATTCGCGGCCTCTGCCTGTGACATCCCTGCCCATCGTCGAGCACGTATGGCACATGCTATAGCTAGAGCGGTGAAGCATGTGAATGTGTGGATCATAGTTGGCGTTCTCCTAGAACAGTTCGTTTTTTCATATTTTCAACAGCAGGGTTTTTCTGCTAGTCAGGCAGCTTTATTTGTCATATTTCAGTTTCTGCGTGAGATGGCAACGTACTGCCGGTGATCCTAGTAAACGCTCAAGTGAGCAGGATGCTTTTGAAGATCTCGCTCTTGAGCTCTTTATCGGTCTCGATCCGGTCTTCCAGGTAAATTCTTCAGTTGCTTGCCTTTTTTGCTTTTACTTCACTTTTCATTTAGCTTTCTGCGGCTGTGGATCTTATACAGTTTATCGTAAGGTTGGGAAGCGATTATCCATCTGCACTCAATACAGATGTTCTGGATCAGACTATTTTTGATAGGTACACTCGCTGCATACGCACATTCGCCTGTATCACTAATTCATTAACACAGGTCGAAGTATTCCTTGCCAAAACTCCGACATTTCCGCTTTGTCACAATTGGACTTGTAGTCAAGGTACTCAGCTCTAGGAAATTATATGATAAGGTTAGAATTTTCAACTTTGTGTTTCTTTTTGATACAACTGTCTAGTTTTTGTGTTCTACTCGATTGTTTGTCCTTTTCCCTCCTTCTCACCAAGTTGATTTTATGGCTAGTGATTGATTTGAAAATGTTGTAGCTGGGACAGCTCGATGACGCTCAGTTGTATCAATCAATGATGCCCATCGGAAAGCGCTTGATGACGGCTTCAGTGGAATTGGCAGAATTTGTTGAGAAAGAAAATGTTGCTGCTGATCAAGGGAATGAACCACAAACTGTGCGGTACTGGGTTGCGCTGTCTTCTCGGGCAGAAACTTGTGCAGAAAAGGTGATAAATGGACCTTTACCCACGTCCGGTTAATTACTCGTCCTTTTAGCTTCGACATCTGATGCCCGGCGGAGTAGCAGCGAGAATCATAGTGGACATCTTGGAAGATAACAGTACCGACACACGAATGCGCGAAAAGGTAAGTGCAGCTCTTTCTTCTTGGCATTTGCTCTTCAACGCGTTATTATTTAGGCTCTCCAACTTGCGAATCTAAAGTTAATTCACGATGGTTTCTTTTTCACTGAAAGTGGTATCAATGAGGAGCACTTGGAAAAGATGGCCGTTGTACTGAACAAATGGCTTGTGAAGGAGAGATCGAACATAGAGAAGGTGAGGTTGTGAGTTCAGCGACTTCTGGTTACTTATCATCATATTGACATTTTAGATAACACTTTGCCAGAATGCCGCTTTTACTTTGAAGCTGATTGCGAAGCGTCTTTCATGTCGCGCGGATTCGTCAGTTCTTGCTGAAACAATGAGCAGATGCACGGATATTGTAAGTGATGAATTCTGTGGCCTAACATAAATTTTTTTGATCTGTAGGTATCGGAGTATCAAACGCTTGATGAGTCTTTGGTAGGAAATGTGCTGCTTCTTGCTGGGGAGCTGATTAGGTAATTTGCTTTTCCACCCCATTACTGGTATCACCAAATTCTCTTCTATGTTTCAGGTCACACAATATGAGAACAACTATGGTGTCTGCAATTCCTTTACTGAAAACCTGTCTCAGCATTCTCAACGAATGCTACTCTAGTCAAAAGGTATCTCAAAAAAAATCTCATCTACAACTTGACGTGGCGCTTGGTCTGTAGCACCTACAGTTCCCATAGTCCATCCTCTTTCTTCAGAGTCCAATCGATCCTCTGAATCCGTCAGAAGATGCAGCTAGCAAGCGGCGTCGCGTCCGGCAGCAATCTCTGAGTGGTAAAAAGCTTGGCAGTTCAACGCTTCTGGTCGGTTTGTCACTTTTCATTTGCTGACTTTTGAAGGGAACTCTTTTTTAAGATCTGCGCACTGACCTGTACCCAACGAGTTCTTGATCAATTTGCTCCGTTTGTGTCACAATACATCCCACAAGTCCTCGTGCAATTCTGCCGCTTATACGGCAGGTAAGAAATGCTTTCAATGGATACCGCAAGACAACATCTAGTTCCGTCAGCTACTCTTACCTTTTTTTATAGTCCCATGAATGTAGTCGTAAATTGCTATGGATCATGTTTTCTTCTATCTCAGGATGACCTTCCATGTTCTTGCTTCAGGTATCACGATGCTGATGGGGGCACGAACACATTTGTTCCAGATAAGTCACTTCCTGTCTTCCAAACATCTAGCATACAACATCGGTAGGTCCTAAACTCTAGAAACTTCATGTTCGTTACTTTGATTTTATAGACTCGAGCTTATCCGCGCTGCTTTGCTCAAGTTGGAAGTGCGCGTGGTTGGTGAACACTTTGCCAAAGCAGTGCTTCAGCTTAACGAGGAAGAGGTAAAATGCTGAGTGCCTATTTTTTTAAATGTGTATCTTCTGACTTAAGGACGCTTTGATTGCCCTGTTCTCTCTCCTCCAAAAGTACTTTGACCAAAAGAATAGGTTTATCATAACACAAATGAGGAATGATCTCGTATCAAACGTATTTATCAAAGGACTGGAGTATCGCACAAAAGTTAGAAATGTTGAGGTAATTGTAATTAAGCCACACATTCTGTAGCTATGCACATTTCGAAGTTTTTCAGAATTTGGAGAAAATAGAAAATGTTGAGCGCAGTATATTCTCTGCTTTACTCGCTATGGCGGAGGTTCTGACTGAGAACACACTTCGTTCAGTGGTCAACGCTTTGGTAGACTGGTCAGAACAAGGTTTGAAACCGTCGGCGAACAGAGAGGAACGTGCTCGTCTTGGAACTATTTTCATGTTTGCAAACAAGTAAGTATTAACGTCAGCAAAGTTTTATCGGTTTCATCTGAAAGTTCTCTTTCTATAACCCAACTTTGCAGTTTCTATGCATCATTCAACACACTTGCCTTACCGTATTTTGGTAAACTCATAGAAATGGCAGCCAAAGTATTGCATTCCTGCAACGCTACTGTAGTCCCCGGTAAGTCCATTATCTTTTTTCATCGTTTCGATTATCTCATGTCTGTTTTAGATCCTTCTCTACTTTTGCTATTCGGTAAGAAAGACACCATGGACGGAAAGGAAGCAGATTCTCTGGTGACACAAGTTATTGATTTTGTTGGTAATTGCGCACGACATCCGGAATTCTTCACCGAGTATGTTCCAGGCATTTGCATTTATCGCTTCTTCAAATCTGCTTTATACAGGGATCGCGCAACAATGCTTATCGGACCCTTAACGGACGAGATTGTTAACAGCAAACTGCCTGGTCACGAAAAACGTTGCCACCATCTCGCCGACGCTCTGTACCGCGTATCTGATACTCATCCAGATGTCTTCCAAACTGTTCTGGATAAGATATTGCTGAAAACTAGAAATGGAAGAGCTAAGGTAACAAATGGTTGTGACCTGTCGAGTGTGAAATGCAATTTTCACAGATTCGATATCGTGCGTTGCTCGTAGTGGAAGCCGTAGTCGATAAAGTGGGTGATGGAATCGCACCTCATCTGCCCATGGTGATGCCGTTCCTTAGCGAGTTACTCGAAGGTGATTTTTTGCGAACTTTTAACCCATGTTTATAATTGCAATGTTTCGCGCATGAGATCTAATCTCAGATGGATGTCTTTTTTGAAGTGCGCTCTTAAAGTGCTACGTGGAAAATATTTGTTTACTTCATACGTTCGGCGCCCAAATTAGTGCCCTCCATCTCTGACTCACCAAGATGCGAGGGCCTCGGTGGCGCCGGCACTTGCCAGCGCCGTGCCAGAATCCATGCGAGCCTCTGTTGATCGATCAAGTTTGACATTGCGTTGGAACGAGCAACTCTGGACTTGGCCTTAACTGTGACACTTTGTTTGGGCATAGGCCTTCGTCTAAAACTAATTCTTGTCTAATGAAACATCTCAAAACAAACAAATACTGGGATTTTAAGATGAAAACCACAACGTCGAAGAGCAATGCGATCGCGTCGTACGGTTGTTACAAAATAAGTTTGGTGAGAATATCTGTGAAGGTTTTGCATAGGTTTGTTGTTATCTTCTTTGTTGTTGTTTCATTTTGGCACATTTCATTACCTTGAATGCTTACACTGTTACAATGTTCGCTGTTAATGGTTGTTGTTGAATTTTTGTTTTTGTTTTGATGTTACAATCTTTACAGATATGGATCAAATTTTTATTGGGTAGGTAGTTGAAAAGGCTACCTATAAATTCTCAACACGTAACATTATTGCGTATAAAAGAGCTTTTTCATAACAAGGTCGATGCAGCGACTGCGGTTCGAGATCAGTTTAATGTGCAGTAGTTTTTTTTTATTATTTTGCAGATAATCTCTCGGCCGCTTTCTTGTCATCTTCATTAGGTGGATCCATGAGCTGCCAAAATACCTGGAGTCGGGAAATCCATGTAAAAGCCCCACTGAATTCTAACAAACCTTTACTTTCTTCTTTAATCTCCATATCTTCTTCCATAAGTCTGCATCTGCTATAGGTTTATGCAGCGAATTTCGCCAACCATTGCGGTGCCATATCGGAAGCCAATTCTCCGCTGACAACACTAATCTGGCAGAATCAGTTCGAATCATAAGCTCGCGAATACCTTTCGAAGAAGCCTGAAGAATTTTGTTTGATTAAGGGTTGAGTTTAAATTGTGAAATTTACCATTTCAAGAACATTCAGGAGGTAATGGTAGACCTTTTTCTCCTCGTTTACAAAACATTCTGTTGATTTATCATCTCCTTCCCAGATAACACCACTATGGAAATCCGTCCCTCTTTTGAATATCCTCACTTTGACACTTAAAAGGAAACTTAAGACAAATTTGTGCAACTTCAGTGGATGTATATCAAATTCACAGATAATCGGAGATTTACGACTTTGCAATGGAATAATGAGTATACAATGAGAGATTGTGATACCTAGGGATGCGCAGAGATTTCTCATCAACTAGTATCTCTGATATGCTCCTGTCGTACTCCGATCGATCTTTGCCGACGATAGGCAAATCTATAGATTCAAAACACTTATCAATCGCTGATATCCATTCGGAGCTATCTTTCCTAGGAATCTCATAGCGAAAGCGGACCTGAGAAGAGTAAGTGGCTGTGAATCAAGTGAACTTCAGATAACACCAGTACCTCTACTCCTTCTTGTACTAGATCTCGAATTCGATCATAAAGGAACTTATTGGAGCACGGTGAGCCATTCGCTTTCAACCATCGAAAATAAACATTTTGGTGAAGCAAAAAAAAGACTGATTTACTTATTCTTCCAGTTGTGGATGAACACTTGCGAGTCGGTTATTACGACCACATGGGGCAAAAAATTTTCCACAGCCTTGAGATAATACATTATAAAGTGGTAGAATGTAAAGCATGAAGCTTACCTCCTTCAATGCAGCTTCGATAGCTGCTAATTGAGCACGGACCAAAGTGGCTGGCACCATAGCCAACCGCTCCATAATGTCAACACCAAATCGCTTGTCAGACCACACTGCGGCGAAAGATGCTGCCGTAAACCCTGTCAAATTTCGTATTTTCTAGAATCAAAGTAGTATTTGTAATAAAAACAAATTTTTGGAAATTCGCCACATAAAACATTTTCAAAACCACTTCGTGTAGGAGAACAACAAAGCAATTTTCCAAGAAAAAAAATCATCCAGAAAGGTTTTAGAAGATAACATTGGTGGTCGGAACAAAGACTCAAATTCTACGATAGTGTGGTCATGAATGTTTATAGTCTTATAGGACTGATGGTCAACATAGTGTTCTCGCAGAGACCACAACACTTTTGTGCGTGAAAAGTGGCCATTGGCCGCAAAACATGAAAATGTTGGTCAGGGATTAGTTCTTTACGTGCAAGTGTTGTCTCGGCATTACAAACATCCTAATTTTTTTTTCCCGTAACCGCAAAGCCACCACGCTCTCAGGTCTGTTAAACACCACGAATTTCAAAGTAAGGAAAATTGTTCGATATCGAGGAATTCTGATCGACGAGATGCTGAAGAATCCAGAAGCAAAAAAAATCTCCCAAACGAAAAAAGTCATAGCAAGAAAACTACCGTTTTTCTGAGCTTTGTACATAGCTGTTGTGTAAACCTCAGGCCAACCAGCTGACGAAGTGCTAGGAGTATTTCCATCCGCATCAACCTCGTCACCAATGTCTATTCCCGAAACTAAAACGGAACTTTCCTGAGCGCTGGCAATTCAAATATATAAAAAACAACATACAGACGCTTCCATCTGATGAAGAAGATTTCTGCACAAAAGTGCCGTCTTGTAGAATACTTGCCATCACGTAATTAGGTTTCTTGTCTACCACGGCCGGTCTATACTTGAAGGTGACCTAAACAAAATTTTTTAGAAGTGAATTGGAAATGTCAAACTTACGTCCATATCTTTTGTTAGCTCATACAACTCTCTTAACAATTTGGCATGCTTCATCTTGGGGCCATAATATGAATGGAAATCCCTCGATGCATATACGCTCAACTTGTGATGAAACCCAGATGGACAATTATAGTCTGTGTATATCACAATTTTTCCAGCTAGGTTTTCCTTCTTTGCCTAAAAAGAAATCAACAATGCCTGGTGGGTCCAAGAATCTAACAAGGGGAACTGACACTGCGAGCTGCTTCAATCATGGCCATCAGCATGGCAGCGACATGTGTGACACCAGGAACCTCACAAATTAAATTATGAGGATTGCTTTGACCCCAGTATACTCCATATTTGGACACAAGACCACTGGCAGTCTTGAAGGAATAACCGGTAGTGCAAACTTCATGAAGCCTAAATTCAGTCTTCTCGCTTTAGAAGCAGGGTTATCAACTTTTCGGCTATGCATTTTTTAATGTTTTCCTTTAGGAGGTATAGGGGCCTGCAGGATCGCGAGAGTCGGACGCGCGTACGGCCTTTGCGCCGCGCACGCCTGATATCGCTGGGTCGTAGTCGATTAAGGCTAGATAGGTAAGTTTTTTTTGTTTTTCTTTACATTTCACGCCTTCTTTTCTTTTCAGGCGGCGAACATATGTTGGTGCAGAGGAGTTTAAGATCTAGATTAAGGTGAGGTGCAGGATTATGCTCAATACGAGCCAATATTGTGGACTTTTCACCCCTGCTTTGAAGAATGTTGAGTTTTCTGTTCTGGCTGTCCGATTATGTTCGATTTTTCGTCCTGCCTGCCCGGTTACGAAACTCCGTTTTATTTGCAACGTCTGTTCTACCTCATCTTGCATCATGCGCGTCATCACAATCATAATCATTGTCATCATCATCATCATCACAAGCAATATGCAAGATAAGGTAGAATAGACGGTAGAAATAGAACAGTTTGCTGTAACAGGGCAGCCAGGACAGAAAATCCAACATCTCAACCAGCAGGCATGGAAGGTCTGCAATATTGAGTCCGTATTGAGCATAATCCTGCACCTCACCTTAATTCAGATCTTAAACTCCTCCGCACCAACATGTGCTCACCGTCTGAAAAGAAAAGAAGGCGTGAAATGTAAAGAAAAACAAAAAAAACTTACCTATCTAGCCTTAATCGACTACGACACCTATCTAGCCTTAATCGACTACGACCCAGCGATATCAGGCGTGTGCGGCGCAAAGGCCGTACGCGCGTCCGACTCTCGCGATCCTGCAGGCCCCTATAAATATGTGCGGATTTGCTCAATAAAGTCATGAATCAATTTCCATTCAAAAAAAGAAAAGTCTTATCGAGTCTCAGCAACTCCGTAAAAGTCTTGGGTGGGTAAGACAATTCGATAGTAAAACGCGCTTTTCACTTTAGGTGTTGCAGTCAATAATCTAGAGAAATCTTACGGTTCAGTTGACGTCGCAGCCGTCGAGCTACTCAGACTGCATTCCGCCCAAATCAGCGAACGAGGGATGGGTCGCAATAACGCTTGGAATAGTGGAAGTGTTCTCTTCATCAATTATAAAATGAAAGATCCTGGAAAATTGCAATGCACATCGGTACATGTTGGTGGAAACATGAACTGTTTATCAAAAATACCAAGTCTATTTCGAGTTTTTTAGAGCACATTCTAGCATATATTACAACCTACGTATGTACTAAGACACGAGAATCTTGTAACGTTTTCATCAGTTCAGGGATATTTCAGCGTAGAACACATTCATTCGCAGACTACACCAGACTTGACGAAATTTTATTACATCAAAATATATCAAACTATATGCGAATAACTTCGCTAGAATGGCTTTCCCGAAAATCTCCCTCGGAACAAAGTGGAACGTCCTCACGACTTGTAGCATTTTCAAGTGTTAGCCCCAACGTTTCCAAGGCATCCTCATCGAGTACGTGAAGCTTCACCTAAATGAAAATTTTGATGTAGAAAAAGGAAGGGTGGAGTATTACAAACTGACTAACCCGAGTGCCACGATCCTCCTCACTCAATGACGTTCTTTTCCTTATCTTTTGGAATAGATTCAGTTCCTTTTTTGGGGTATATATACCATTTCCAACCTTAACCACGATCTCATTCGTTGAATAGATTATTGCATGTGAAGCGCGATGGAACATTGCCTGAAAAATTTCCATAGTCGAACATGACTAACACTGAACGAAGTTGCCGTGGTTTTGCACTCAGACAAAAAACATCCTTTTTTTGGACTGGTAATTCTATTCGGTTTAGTGGAATTAAGTCATGAAATGCTCCTAGTGTAGTCACTCATAAACAGAAGGTACCAATTATAATTCTACTGTAGCCTGTTAGTATCACCCATACCACTCTCGAGCCGCTTGTAGATTGTAAACGTGAGCATTTTTAGGATTAAAGCCGATCACCCAAACAAAACCACAAAAACGAACAGCGTAAGGAGAACTAGTAGAAAATATGTCCATTACTTGATCTTACTTACACTGATAATAGCATAGTACACTGCTCGGACTTGGACTGAATACATGTTGTTATGATTACTGAACTCAATGTTGATATCTCTGCAACGAAAACTTATTGATTTACTAGTCACACTGAATTCTGATTTTTATTTTATTGCTAAGGCATGCGCCATACCTGATTCTTCAGTTCATTTGATCCACTTCGCTACTACGTCACAACAGTGAACTGACCAATGGCGAAGCGGATCATCGCTACTGGTCACCTTGCTGGTTTGAAGTAGCGCAGTGACTGAAGTGGATCAAGCGGATGTGGATCAAGTATAGCGTGTGCCTAAGTGGAAACTGATAATATTACAAATATGTTTTACAAACACCTCTCCGGATTGTGTAACCATCTGACCAATCCGCTAGCTTTGCCTTCAGATTCTGCTACTTTTCCATGGGCAATGATAATGGGTGCTCTGAAAAGGGAAAACCTTTCTATACACACTTCAGACAAGCTTGCGCACGACTCACGTAGCCCAAGGTCTTTCATTTTGAAAAACTTTATGCTCCTCAATCGAAACAGTCTTAGAAGAAGCTGCCTTCACTAACCAAGATAGAGCACTTTCACTAAGAAATCAACTCTCTTCGTAGATGATAATTTCAAAGTGGTTACGAACTTACCATTCATCAGATGCACTGGCGGAAGCGCTTCTGATCACTTGTTGTAAGGCAGGTAATGATTTCAACATGGAAATTCTGTGTTTAAGGGAATTTATTATACCACATTTATTCACATCAAAAAGAAAACGTAGGAGAATTCCGCAAGTGTCTGCACAAGTCAGAATCAACGGTTTATTCACTGTTGTATTATGTATAGCTGGTGAGAAAAATTGACAAGTTCTACGCTTCAAAAGCCTTTGTCAGTCAGAGTGCTATACATTTGTGCGCCAAGTCTTGCCAGCTTATCGGCTTCTTCATTTCCGGCTACACCAGAGTGACCCGCTACATATTCAAACTTTACCTGAAACTGAATCATTAGACTGAAAACTTTGAAAACAAAACCAAAAGGCTCACATGAATTCTTTGAGTGCTGTCGTCAATAGAACGAATGAGATCCTGATTTTTCACGCTTTCACCAGAAGAGGTCTTCCACTTTTTCCTGAATTTCAGCTTACCAAAAGCAGGAAGCGAAAAGAAGAAAATACTAACCGCTTCCATTTTTCCATATAAATATCGAGTGATTTCATGAGTAGTTGCGAATCAGTGCGAACAATTACGCAAGACATATTGTTACGGATAGCCTAAAGATTCTTATTTCCCAGTGTAAACGACTTTTAACGAGCTAGTAAATTTACGCAGTATAAACATACCTGCTTCAGTGCCACATCCACCGCTAAAAGCTCCCCTCTGTTGTTAGTGGGCGCACCATGCACCGGACCACAAGTATTATCGGGATGGTCATATCCCCAAAACACGCCATATCCAGCCTGAAAAGATCCACAACACTGAGATCCACAGATTTATCATAATCGAGTAAAACTACCTTTGCGCCCTGATATCCATTTCTGCTACAGGCGCCATCAGTGTAAACTATGGGAGCGTCTTTCCAGATAGACTCATCGCTGAACTTTCGTCATAATATGGCGCTAATACAATAATACTTGAAACTTACCAATGTTTCAGTCTTTCGGGAATTCCGGTAAAATCTGGAAGTGGTTCTTTAGCCTTTCGCTTCCGTGAAGCACCACTCTGAAATATTTCAGTGCCAAATTTTGCAGCAAACAGAGATTGACAATTTTATCGATCAGTAAACGGCTGCCACCCACACATTCAGATGAGACTTGATCAAAAATAAGTGGACCGGATCGTATCATGGTAATTTCACTGATATGAAAACTCTCCGTTCTAACATTTTCAGAGCTCGGTAATGTTTTCTTTCGCGATTTGCAAAACTTGAGTGAATGTAGGTGCTACTCATTGAAAGTCTGCTGCCATAGATGACTCCGGTGTGCTATCAGGCTCTCATGTGAAGAGGTACAGAAGGATATCGTCAACGTCTGCCTGTTTGCAGCAGTACAGCGTAGGCAGAGAAATAACTTGCTTGAATTTTCTCAACAAAAAGGCCTACATAGGGCACATTTGTCATTGCGGTAGCAATCATATGCTGTAAATCGACGAGTGATTGTTGAAACCGTCTAAATAACTCACTATGATTGTTCATCTCATAATTATTGCACGAAAACAAACGTGGCTTCAAACAGAAATTGAATACTGCAACATTCACACAGTTCAACCACCCAAAAAAGAGAAAATGTCGCCCTTTGTGAAAGCAGAATGCCAGCAGTGTACTAGGCTAAAGTGTAACATAAACATTATCAAACTTTTGGCCAGTACAACACTTATTCTGCTTGTCTATATGCTCCCTGGGCTTTGTGTTTGATGGCAGCCGTTATGCCACACTCTTTGCCAAAATTCATGCTATGACTGCCTACCTGTGTTAGACTACTTTCTGAGGATGACGGATCTGCGGCGACTGCTGCTCTCACTATAATTTTAAATATTACAGAGTCACAGCTCGAACGGGAGGTGAAGCATGCACATATCTCTCACCAACTTTTGGCGCATTCATAATTTTGATGATGGCAATGGACGCTAAACAAATAATGGCTTACGCGCTAGCTGATAGTTGATGATGAAGTCCTGGGCTTCTTTTTCAGTGGGGAATTTCTTATATCTAAATAAGAGTTTCCGCATCGAAGCAAAATCTGCACAAGTAAGATGATTCATGCATGTTCTTAAGATAAGATGGAAAAATGGGGATCACCTTGGTTTAGGGTAACCGTCAATCTGCGCGCGACATTGATCCCACGTAGTGTAGATGCCAATGTTCCTACCGTTAGCAACCGCATAGAAACCACCACCTTTCGCCATAGAACTTGGCAATTAACATGCAGCAGTTTGACAGTAATCAAAATCTACGGTTTCTCGACCTCTATTCTGCCCTGTTTAGAACATATGGATTACTATCTTGATATTCAAATCATCAACAAAGTATCTCCAACGGAACAACCATATTAGCTCAAAATCGTAGCAAAACGGCAAGATATTCATTCCATAATGACAACTACGCACTGATGTCTAATGCAGGGCAGTGTGAGGTATGCACGCAAAACTACGAAGCAAAACAACAATAACCATGAGTAGGGTATATACGTTTAGTATGCAACAAGATTATATAAATAAAATTCTTTGATAACATGCTCTTTCACTTCTTCGATAAGATGCTCTTTCACTTCTTCACTTTCTTTTCCGGTTCCGGTTCTTCTTTGGCAGTAGATGCCTCAGCGTTTCGTTTACGACCAGCCATGGCTTCCTCTAAAACAATTTAAATTAGTTCACTAGAGATTTCTTTCGCTACAGACCTATCTGCTTCAGCGTTTTGCCTTCGGCGAACATTTTCGCCTCCTCTTCATTATCAAACTTCTTGAATTTAGCACCTTTGAAATTTGTCGTTTGCTTTTTACATTCGTCCCACGATGTGAAACTGAAGCAAGACCACATCATCATGACTGTTCAACAGAGACAAGTAAAAAATTTGAACCTCAGTTGAAATATTGAAAAAAAACATGCTTACAGGATTACACACTATAGGTACTTACACTCCAGTAGAATGCCCTCTCGCAACTGCGTAGTATGTCGTGGCTTTTTCCTCTTTGCCGGCATCTTTTTTCGCCCCATCATCAGTGGCCTTAGCGTCTTTTGACGACTCCTCTTTTGGCTTACTTTTCGCACTTTCACCCTCTTTCTTTTCCTTGGAAGTTTCCTCTTTCTGCTTTTCTTCCTTGCCTTTATCATCGGCCTCTGGAATTTTCTGCATCATGTGGTGTCCAAACAGTTCTCATCATCAAACCCAAAATATTGCAGGTGCTATGATAATAATAATCGCCGGCAAATAAGACCTTTACTTCGATTTTTATTAGGAGTAATTAAAAGTAGTAAGTGAGTACTCAGGTGACACTAAAATTTGCGGCTTTCGACTCACATTTGTAAAATTTGCCCCTTAGAATCAATCTACAATTGTTTCGAACATTCTCTAAATCTTCGCATTTCCTCGAAAAAAGGCTTCCTCCACTTTGCAAAACTTTTCAAACTTGGTTGAAGTCAAAAAATTGAAACCCACGTTTTTCTTTTCCATGGAAAAATTTGTTGAAATAGGCAAGCGCATCGTCTAACTTGTCGAACTTCTTATAAAGTGGTTGTGGATAATTTTCTATCTGAAAGCAGTTCACTTCGTTAATGATACAGGGGGAAAACTTAGTAGAAGATAGATCTTCGTGTCGCCGAAGCCTTTCAACTTATACCGGACTTTCTATTTTCTTTGATACAATCTAGAACAATATTAATCTAGAACAATATCAACCTAGAGTAATATATTTATCAACCTAGAACAATATATTACCCAAAAAAATGTTTGTCTTATTTCAAGATGAAACTCAAGCGAATTACGAATCAATAAACTAACTACTCTCCTTCAGTTCTCTATCGAGTAGCAAACGAAATCCCAGAATTGAAAACTACCATGCACAAACTTAAAATAACTGATAAAAGAAATCAGGCTGCTAACATACTTGTCATGAACTCTAAATCTGCGACATACGTATTTCTTGACATCCTCGTAATTAGTGAAGACGCCAACTGAATAGCCACGAGCAACCGCATAATATTTTTCCAGATTAGGTTCAGGAACAGCTACTAAATAAGATAACATTAACGGGACAGGCATTATGCACACGAAAATTTAAAAAATCAAGAAATCTCACATTCGACTTTCTTTATCTCACGTGCTTTCATATACTCTTCGGCTTCCTCACGTTTGGAAAATTTCTTGTAGACAGCTTGTGGAAAGTCGTCTATCTGAAAAATTTGAAACTGGAATGAAGAGGCGAAAGTTTATGTTGACTAAAAATTACTTCTTGCTACTATTTGCGTTGAAAATATAAACTGTGATGTAAAGTCCTGGATGTCGCCTCAAGGGCTAACTACCGTTTCCGAACTCGTTTCCCGTAAACAACAAAACAGAGAGCGGTATGCTGTGTGTTGAAGCAAGAGCTTTCCTAGTGGGTTCTTGTAGTCGTATAAATCGACTATCTATGGTGAGAAGTGCAGTATCCTACCTATAGCAACGTAAAATTTCTCAAAAATGTTATAAGCCAACAAAATATCCCGCTAATGCAGAAGAATAACGTTTGTATACTTCTTTATTCAACTAGATCAGCATTACAGTTTAGACTACATTACAAATTCAGGATATGATCAGCTGTTAGCTGTCAAGACACGAAACCAACAATCACCTCACACAACTCACTTTTCTAAGTAGAACTTCCGCGCGCCAATATCGCAAAAAAAAAGAACAGAAGTAGGATTATTCTTGCAGCCCTATACTATCAGATACGAGATCACAAAATTACGCACATAGTACACAAAACGGAAACATTTCTCTTCACTGTAACATGCAACATATTACGCCGCCGTTCACAACCCACGAATCGTTTTCCCTTTGCTCACTTCTTGACTGCAGCAAATGAGCGTGCATAAATGAAGGCGCAGACTTGACGATTTGCTGCCTATGCGGTGCCGACAACGTATGCGCGTGAACAAACCGCCATGCATGTAATGCCAAAATCAAAGCGCGCAGAGCCCCTGCAGCGGACATGTTCAAATTTTGTACATGGTGAATTGTTCCCGCGCAGATACATTTTATTTTTGATCTAGCCAAAGATCTAGCCAGACCCATGCAACTTAGTAAACCGCCCATGAAAATCGACAACGACTGTCGTATAACGTTACAACATTAGAGAAGCTCGAACTCACCTGCTTCTTTACTTCGTCCCAATTCTCAAAGATTCCACGTTCGAACCCATGAGCAACAGCGTAGAATTTTGCCATGCTTGAATCGATGTTAATAATTTACATTCAAAATAGCATAATCAATCATGCACAAGGCGAGATCGCATCAAAGACAACTACAAAATCGTGATAAATTTATTATTTTGCGTTACGACGCATGAAAGTCTGCCTGATAGTAGAACTTACATATCAGGACACAAGATTACTTTCAAAATTTATAAACAGAGAAAAAATTATGAGGAACATTTGACTGGTGGAATAGATATCAGCAATGAGAGTAGAGCACTTACTAGAGCTTATATGTACAAAAGCCGGCAGGTCAAGATGAAGGACACATGTCAGTCTCGCAATTCAGCGAGCCGTTCTGCCATTGAACTCAAATCAGGAGTTGCGACTTGTTCACCGGAGAGTTCTCCAGTGGCGGCAGCTGGAGCTTTACCAAGTTCACCAGCTGTTACTTCCCAAAGGATGCGATCTACTTCTTCCTACAAAAGGGAAGACAATTGTTTCCGAATCAACAAATCATAAAAGTCTAGGTATCTCTTAAATACCTGTGCTGCCTCCTCGAGATCGGCTGGCTCCACAGTTTCCATGGTTTCTTCAATCATTTCATCTATGATTCCGAGTTTCATCATTTCTTGAGACATCTCCCGCATGGTTCTCATGATTTCTGGCACCTAGATGGATTGGACTGACTCATATGATGGGAGAACTGACATTAACGGAACTGTCAAAGAATGTTCGAGTAAGTGAATTGAGACCAACAGAGTTCAGTTTTCAATCTACCATCTCTGCCACCAATTCACCATTACAACCAGAAAGTCTTGTTCTAGACGTGACCAAGGCCGCTAGGACGTTTGCCAAAAATCAGTCTTCAAGAGCGCCATCTATTACCCGTGATTTGCTACAGCAACCCCTCTACTGTCAAGAAACAATGTAGTCGTTACATCAATTTTGTTCCACTCGACTGGAAAAACCCTCAAAATCTTGTCAAACGATTTTTCCATTTGCCAAACTATGTATGGTGTTGCAGATTTTTGATACATACATGTCACACACAAAAAATCAAATTTTCAATTTTTTTTTCAAAGAAAAAATTCCGAATTATTTTTGGCAAAGTTCCATTTTTGGTTATTGGAAAGCTTGAACATCCAAAGTGCCTAGTATTAGTGCCAATGCTTCCAGAAGTAAAAATCTAAAAAAGGCAGAAAAGGACAAAAAGTAAATTTCTGAAAGCTAAAGAAAGAATGGAGGTTAGAGTGCTCTCATAGAGTTGCTTTTATTTACTGTGTCATATCTTGATGACAGTATAAATAGTGCCATATATACCAGATATGAGAGTTTGCCAGTTTTTTAGAGTTTTCCAGAGGAAGACGAAGAAAGTGTCACAAAACTTATGTAACCTAATAACTCATCACTGAAGCGATCAGAACTCAAGCACTAAAATGATTTTCAGGAGCTGCGACTATGATTTGAGTGACGGAAGTTGAATAAATGCGGTGACGTACAGAATTCAGGACTCATTCACAAAAAAGTGTGCAAAGAAATGACCTCACGATATTGATTTTCCCTTAATTTCAACTTACTACTTTGAACTATTCGATGAAATCACGATCTTCAGTTACATTATCTACAAGTTGGCGCGGAAGCAATGAACGTTTTGCAATTCGATTCACCAAAAAAGGAGGAACTCAAAGCACGTGGATGGCAGCAAAAACATCAACCATTAGACAATAAAGTTTTAAAAAAAGTAAAGGGAGATATTAAAATAGTCCTCGATTTTTTGCAACCTGTCAATCATTCAAAACAGCTTCCAGGACCAGACAGGGAACCAGAAAACCAGACAAGATACCTAACCCATTTCTGGCCCAAACCTCAACAGGTAATTCTTTTAGCATGACGGACCAGTGATAATTTCGTTGAAATATGAAGCTTATTCAAAACTGCTACCATTAGACGTTCCTCAGCCTATACACATCTATTGGAAAATTCTAAAGTTCCAAACTTTATGAGAGGAGCAAAATTTACCTTCACTAAACTTTGCATCGCTTGCAGAACTTGAGTCGATTTTTGGAGTGTTCCAGCCATTCGCATCGTTGAGAGTTGCTCTTGCATACACATTATAACAGAGTTAATCTGAGCTTTGGACACATGAATTTTTGCAACGGCCTGGAAGGTTCAGTATTGAGATGGACACAAGGAGAATGCTAGTTTACCTTTCGAGACTGAATTAAAGACTTCGCCAATACAACGCAAACATCGCGATCACCTTTTTTCGCTGCTTCTTTGATCTCTCTCGTAACCTGCAATGTTACAATTATGTTTCATTAGACTAAATGTGCCACACAAGAAGAGCATTGTAGAGTCATTTCTCTGGATAATTACTGTTAGGACTCTACTGGTACTGTATTGGTACTTGTACTTTTCAAAACAGTGTAATTAATCGAAATCATCGTTTCAAGCAGCTCCTCAATGTTGTATAAGAAAGGTGAAATGATATCCAGCGGCTATTTGTCATGTTTTTCCCCGTGACCCCATGACCATACTTGGAAATGTATCAATACTTGGATCACAAAAGAATTAAAATATGATCAAATATCACAGATATAACAAACGAAAGCGCTCCTACGCAGGGATGATGATTTAGTGCGGTCGTTATTTCGAGCGCAGCTGCTAAATCAACTACGGAGAGGGTCAGTACAATGATGTGTTCAGTCAAATCAGACGATAACTTCTGACAAATAAAGTGTGAGACCAAGCAGATTCTGACAGAACCTAAGCTGGCACCTACTTGACGATCAAGCCAATCTCTTGACTCACCGAGTTCAGAAAAAGATGTAAGCACAGTAAAACAAATATTTGCACTACTGCACTCATGTTCACAGTAGTTTTTGACAAAATCTTGAGATTCACAATTTTTAGGATAATATCTGAAGTCTGTTTGGTCGAGAACAAAAAAAAATTTTTTTTTCAGTGCTTAGAATAATGCGACAGGATGTAATCGAAACCCATATTTAAACCAAATCCAATGTACAAACACCATATTAGCTATTCCAAAGTAAACAAAAAATAAAGCACATCAAAACAGAGGTATGAATTTGAAAAAAAATACGGTACATACCTTCTGCTCCTCTCTTTGAATGCCGTATATTTGCCTGTCCAACGCTCGCATTTCTTGTCGCATCTTCCTCTGCATTTCCCTAACTTGCTCCTTAGGATCCTTCTTTTTCCCAAACAACCCCATCATTACAATAGTCCGAAGGACTAAATGGATACTGCCTCAAAGAGAGGAAACAGATCTGAAAGAATCATCGATTTAAGCGCACACAGAGGTGATTTCAGGTATGCCACAGATAACGGAAAAAATTCAAAGTAAAAAGGAATTTGATGAAGGTTTGGAAGGTTTAGAACAGAACTATGGCATAAGCAAAAATCAATGTTGTACTCAAAGGCGTTCACCATGAATGAAAAAGTTGCTGGGCGAGCGAGCAATGACTCACAGCAATAGATGCCGCCGCCCACGGAGCGCGAATTTTGTGGGCATTTGCGACATTTGAGCATGAATTTCTCTACAAAACGAATATTATTCGAAAAGGGTCTACGGAACACATCCAATGGTCAAAATTCCAATGAACGATCCCAAATCTCCTCACCAAATTGGTCCCACCCCAAGATGACGCCGCGTCTATTGATAGAAATGAAAGGAGCGAGGGGGACGAAGCAAGTGCATTTCATTCGTCAATAACGCGCATCTGATGCGCAAGCAAACAGAGGGAAATTGCCTCACAAACAGCTTGACTCTGGATGATGACAGCAGTACTCTCTACACTACTAGTCCAAAAAATCAAGTTGAAATCGTGCATGGAGAGCAAATTCTTAGTGCACAGACAGGATTCCAACTTGTGATGCAGTTTGGTACTCACTAAAGAAATAAAGCTCAGGCCATGTGCCAGGAATGAATACAGACTCTACGGCTTAGAAACCATTATCCGTCGGAATCCGGCGCTGACCTTAGCTAGGGATATAGCTAACGCGACTATAAAAGGCGACTCGGCTGCCTCTTACTTTTTCATTGATCTTACTTATCAGATGATAAAGTGGTCCTGCATTTGATATGATATTTTGTTCATCCTCTGGATCGTATTATGACTGATCATTTCGCTATCCGTATTCAAGTGATGAATGGGAACCTGAGTTGCTAACAACTGATGTTGATGGATGACGTTCAGAATCATTTACAAATTCATTTTGTTGTTAAGGATTTCAAAACAAGACTGTCATTGGTAAGGATGAACTTCATCTCCCTGAACAGTGTACACGTTTTGGGAAGCAGAGGCTCTTCTAACTTCATCAAATAAAACCCTTTTATATTCTGGCGAAAAGTTATTGGGATAATGATAAATTCCATAAGATACTAGAGAAACATCAGTTCCTCAGTATTTGCACGTTATGGCATATTGAGACAGTATCCAAGATGAAGAGAATCTTCAGTACCGTGGCAAGATCAGAGAGTGAAAAAGACAAATGATAGTTTCAGGATGACCTAATGATTTGGTAAGTAAGATTCATATGTAATAAGTAAGATTTATAGCCAAAGAAAAGATAAGAGGCAGCTGGGTCGCCTTTTATGGTGGCGTTAGCTATATACTGTAGCTAAAGTCAGCGCCGAATTCCGACGGATAATGGTTTCTCTACGGCTTCAGGAAATGTATCGGATTTCTCAAAATTGACAGGCGCGCCTGTTGCGGCCGCTGCGCAGCCCTAACGTCTCAAAAACTATTGCGACATCGACCAGACAAAATGGAAGTGAGGGGGGGGGGGGAGGGAGGAATTGATCTCGGGGCTACCCCGAGATCAATCCCTCCCTCCCCCCTCACTTCCATTTTGTCTGGTCGATGTCTGCCTCATGTCAACTCGCTGCCTCTCGCACTTTTGACGTGTTCTTCAGCAAATTCAATTCGTTTTCTTAAGAGTTGTTTCATACTGCCGCACTGTCTGCAGCAGTCTGCACTGACCGCAGCAGACTGCAGCAGACTGCAGCTGACCGCACTGACTGCAGCAGACTGCAGCTGACCGCACTGACCGCAACGACCGCAGCGGCTGAAGCCTGCAGGCGGAGAGGATAAATAGTTGTGCTTTAAACAAACAACAACAATACATACGTGAAAGCAAAAGACAACGAGGTTTAGAATGTTACAAAACAGGTATAGTCTGCTCCAATCGGGATCAGGCCGAACCGTCGGCGTAAATTTGCGCGCTCGCAGCGCTAGCGGTCTGCGCTGCATATGCGCGCTGTCGAAGACACCAAAAGGATTGCAGAGAGAGCAGAGAAGCAGGCCGTGGGCGTGACCGCGAAACCCTAGCGACGCGGTCTCCCGCCATGCCGATTTTGGCCTGGTTGGGATTGAGGCAGACTGTATATGCAATGATAGGAAGAATTAGAACAAACACGAACATACCAAAGAAAACTATCGCCAAAATTTGATTGAGAAGAATTCTGATGGAACTTATGATCTTTTTATGAGCAAATCACGCTGTTTTGATAATCGTGGTTGTTTTTTTTTCAAGAGGCTGCGACCGGTGCGGTCAGTGTGGTCAGTGCGGTCAGCTGCAGTCAGCTGCAGTCTGCTGCAGTCTGCTGCAGTCTGTTGGCAGTCTGAAACAACCCTAATGCGAAATGTCAAAACGATGGAAGGTAGCGAGCTGACCTGGTAAGCTTGACTGCACAGAAATGCCTAAATCGCCGTAGGTTGTACGTCGCGAGCGTGTCAACACATGCTGCTGCCTCCGAACTGCAGAGATCTGCCCTACAGCACCGCATGGCGAACATGATGGCAGCATGCCACAACAATTTGCAACATGCAACAACGAGGAGACGGTCGAATGGCGCTTATTGATCGATTGCTATCAACTGGGAGAAGCAAGAAATAAGAAATTATTTTAAGACTCGGATTTCAACAGGTTATCCTTCATTGCGCTTTCTGATGTACTGACAAAAGTCTTGGAATCTTTAAATCTCGCTCTTGTAAAGAACCGATCCAGTCTGACAATGACGGCTGCACGCGCGCCTTTCGATATATAGGCCGTCCGCGGAGGGCGCGGAGAGTGCGCAAGGTGTGTATTGCGCGCCACTCCTCTTTCCTCTGCACTCTCGCCGCCTGTTTTTCTCTGCGCTTCTTCCAGTCGTGAACTGCCTTCAATGTACGCAACAGCGTTGCTCTCCGTGCGCAGCGCGGACGGCCTATGGAAACCATTATTCGTCGGAATCCGGCGCTGACCTTAGCTACAGTATATAGCTAATGCGACCATATAAGGCGTCCCGGCTGCCTCTTATTTCTTCATTGATCTTACTCGTCAAATGATAATGTGGTCCTGCATTTGATATGATGTGTTGTTTATCCTCTGGGTGGTAAATATATAATCATTTCGCTATCCGTATTCAGGTAATGAATGGGGACCTGAATTTGCTAACAACTGATGTTGATGGATGACTTAGAAGCATCACTTACGAAATCTTTTTGTTGTTAAGAATTCAAAAACAAGACTGCCATTGGTGAAAATGACTTCATCTTCCTCAACAATGTACACTGGGAAGCAGAGGTTCTTCTAACTTCATCAAATAAAAGCCTTTAATATTCTGGCGGAAAGTTATTGGGATATCTCAGTAACGATAAATTCCTGAGATATCCTAGAGAAACATCAGTTCCTTAGTATTTGCATGTTATGGTATATTGAGAGAGTATCCAAGATGAGGAGAATTTTCAGTACCGTGGCAAGATCAGAGAGTAAGCAGGACAAATGATAGTTTCAGGATGACCCAATGATGTGGTAAGTAAGATTTATATGCAATAAGTAAGATTCATAGCCAAAGGAAAGATAAGAGACAGCTGGGTCGCCTTTTATGGTCGCGTTAGCTATATACTCTAGCTAAGGTCAGCGCCGGATTCCGACGGATAATGGTTTCTTTTCGACATACACCCACAACAACGCGTCAGCAAAATGGCCTAAGTTTTTACCCTAACATGTTGCTGCATGTTGCCAACATGTTTGCCATTCGTGCTGCATTCAGAGACGCAGAGCAGGGTAGCAGTAATCGTGGGGGCCAAATCAGACGGCAAATGCAGTCTGCTCTAAACTGGAGTAGGCGAAACATTTAACGTGGAGCAGCGCGTTCGCACCGCTGGAGCTTTGCGATTGCCGAGAGCTGGCATTTTGCCAAGTAAAGACTGAGGACAATGAAGAGACGGGGACATGGGTTACTAGCACGATGTGATACACTGTAGCTGTGAAAGGGGTGCGAACGTTGCAAGCGGACGCCCGCCAATCCAATGTCCGCTTGAATTGGTTGAAACTTACTGTAAATGCCCTTGTGGTGCAAGATTGGGCGGTAAAATGGGATCCTGCACGGCAGGAGATAAGCCGCAGAGGCTAAGTGCCGCGCCCGTCGAGTCCAAATTTTGGGACCCACAGAGCACACTACCATCAGATTCCCGGCGGCAAAAACAGGAGGATGGGGTGGGAGAAGATCTGTGATTCGATGCCATAAGTGACATTGCACCTGAAATGCTGCTGCTGTATTGGTTGAAGTGCGTTGCGGCGTCGCTTCACGAAAAATTCGCCCCATCGTACCTCCTGACCGTTTCCTGATAAAATGCGGTGAACAATTTGCCACTCCTGAAATGGCGGCAAGTTGTGCTCGTAGCTCAGATAATCGCCGGGGGCAGGCGGCCGTGCAATTCTTGGGCGGGCGGGCAGAATAGTTCGCTGATTTCTTGTGGTCCGCTTGCAGATATTTGGAAGAATTTTGGCGAAATTTTAGAGGAATTCTTGGAGAACAATCGCAGTTTCCTTACAGATTAGCTGCGGCGCAGTGGCCGCATTCTCGCGGACTTTCCGCGAGAATGTGTAAAATTTTCGGGGGCCGCACGGTCCTTTGTGGAGGACCGCGCAGCCCCCAGGCACTTTTCGCTGAGAGAAAGTACCTCAAACTTGAGTAATTAAACCATCGATGACACCTCTGCTATGTAGAGTCTCACCTTTGCTCGGCGTACACCCGAAACTGCTTAATAACCGTCCGAGCGCCAGCTAAAAATTTGACCAGCGCTCGCTGAAAGAGATTATTTGACGAGCGCCTGCAGAAAATTCTGTATTGCTGCCCGCTGGCAGAACATTAGACAGTAAAGGAAGTACCGCTCGCTGAAGGTTTGGCCACGCCCCAAAATTCTGCTGACCGCTTGCAGAAAAGCGCGAGTTTGCGGAGCGCCTGCCCCCGGCGATTATCTGAGAGGGTGCCGGATCAGAAAATTCCACTTAACAAGCGCTGTTAGAGTTGTTTCATAGTGCAATCGCTGCAGCAACTGGAGTTATGGTGCATCCCCAATAGTTCCCGTATGAATCATCACGATGGCTGTCTCTCGATCATTTTAACACGTCAGCTTCGAAAAGGCACCTCAAATTTGCTGGAGTTGACGTGTTAACACGATCCAAAGGCAGGGCCCGGCCGGCACGAGGTTGGCAAAAAGGGTTCTCGAAAACGAATTCCCCTTTGACCCCAAAATTTTTTACGAATACCCCTTTGATCCAATCCCAATGATTGCGCAGTAAACATTTTACCCAGAGGACAAATTTTACTGAAGAAAAAACTTCAAAAACAATTTATTTATGGCAACATCAAAGAAAAAAAAACAAATGAGAACATACTAAGGATCTCTGCAAGAGATCTAATATATGAAGAATCGTTAAATCAATTCAAAAACCTGCAAATAGTGGGAAAGCGCATGGCGGTCAAGCGCGCATGCTGCTAGCACCTTTAATTGCTAGTTCATTAGTCAATGAAATAAAAATGGAGGGGGGAGGGGGATTTTTACCAATCGTATGCTCACAATTTATAAAACCTCACCCTAAAGTACTCGAGTTCCACACATACTCCTCACATTCCCGTCTTCTCACTCACTCTCAACTCTAATAATTCTACAAATACACTCCTAGCACTCCACTCATTCATCCTCATCATCCTCACCCTCATGTAATCTACGTTCTTACAGTATCTCTCACACTCTCCCTCATCTTTAAATACTCTACTCCCGCACCCACTCTTGAATTCCACTCCTCTCACTCACTCACTTTCACCCTCAAAAAATCAAGGGCAAGTTAGCGCTTGCGTTTTAATTTTTTGGACCTCATTGAGGACAGACAACCGAGTGGCGCGCAACTTGCGCAGGGAGTGACGGCGAAGAAGCTCGCCGCCGCGACGGCCGTCAGCGCAGTGGCTGCCTTTGCAGCGGCGAGCTTCCTCGCCGTCACTCCCTGCGCAAGTTGCGGCAGTTAGTCAGTAGCAGCAACTTGCTTTTCCAAGTTACAGTAGCAAGTTGCTCGCAGTTAGTCATCCCTGGAACTTCCGAAAGCGACCCGAAAGGGCAAAAATTGGATTAAGATCATTCTATGGGTAAATGGGCAAAACATGTTGCAAAGAACATTGTTTTCCCATAAAAGTTTGCATCAACTGATATACATATACTGTCATCAATTCAAAAATTCAACAACTTTTCCATTGTGTTTGACAATAATGCGCACGAATAATTGTCGTGCGAATAGGCTGTGCATGTGATCATTGACACGCTTTCCAATCTCTGCTATTCGGCGACCACCCTATAAGCGATACATTGGGAAATGTGGAATTAGAGACAAATTTACAAATCGCAAACCTTGCCAATGAGCAGCCGTCCAACGCGCTCTTTATTGCAATTGATTTCTACAACGATTTGTAGCACCTGAATTCGCCATACATTCGGAGTGGGAAAAGATAATCTCGAAATACCTCGCCATCCACTTTCCATTCACTTATCTTGGGTTTAAGTTGGTAAGCAACATTGGACGGAGTGGTATCGAGAAGAGCAGCACGAACGGAATCGACACAAATTTGTTGTGGATTCTACAATATGCCCTGACATTTGGAGATGAAGTAGAAAACTCGTAAGCGTTAGTATTCAGTGACAATTTGGTTGTCACTTTGCTTACCCTAGAAGTGACGGCCATTTCATCCATCCTCCAGTTTCTGTCGAAAGACAATCTCTTCAGATGCTCGCGCAACGGCTCGATACCCTCACCGGTCAGTGAAGATACTGAAAGTAGATCTAACTAAATGAAAGGCAGACCCAGGCAAAAAGAAAAACTACTTATGCACTTACCGAAAAACACAGCATCAAAGTTGCTCCAACCTCGCACATTGATAAATAGTCGCTTTGTTTCAGCAAAACTCACTTTGTGAGTGGGTTTGGCTATCAGTTTCCTGAATTAATGGATAACAAACTACAGTAGTTTTCTAGAAAATCCACACCTGAATTGCTCCTGCCAGGCTTCATCCTGAGACGTTACCGCATCATCATGCAGTGGTAAAGCACTTGACGCAACCCCCAACCTACCGATCTAAAACAAACTTCGAAGAGGCGTAAATGAAGAAAAACATGAATACAAAGTCAAGACGCATGCATTGATGTGTGCCAATCGCTCATCAACACATATGCCCACAAGACATTATTATCAATTTATTGAGATATTATGACTCAAGTGAGCCATTTTATTTCGCCCGCGCACCGTTTGCTGTCGTTCACCTCTCCATGAGAGACGGTCGAATGGCGCGCATTGATTGGCTGTTACTGACTAAGGGCCGCATGCACTAACCTCCCCGCTGGGGAGGGGATCGCAGCTTAAAAGAAAGCTTTGCATTTCGAAACTCCAGATACCTGGATTTCACTTTGTGTACCTATCCGTAAGTATTCCTACTACCCTTCACTATGAACATGTTGAACAGGAGCGAGAAGCTGTACGAACCGCATTTTCCAGCTTTTGTATGATCCCTGATGATCCCCGGCGCTTTTCTTTAAAGTCATTTTTCTTTCTCCGAAGCTAACGAAAACCTTCCAAAGTTGTACTGAACATCTAACACAACAGTGCTAAGCATGTTGCTGATGAGAACAAATGAGTTTTTGAAAAGTCGAATTTTCCGGTAAACCTCAAATTTCGACCTGTGGATGTTCGGAAATTTCATGATTTCAAAACATCATTTGTTCTATCAGCAACATGCTTAGCACTGGTGGGTTAGATAATCTGCACAACTTTGGAAGGTTTTCGTTAACTTCGGAGAAAGAAAAACGACTTTGAAGAAAAGCGCCGGGGATAATCAGGGATCATACAAAAGCTGGAAAATGCGGTTCGTACAGCTTCTCGCTCCCGTTCAACATGTTCATAGTGAAGGATAGTAGGAATACTTGCGGATAGGTACACAACGTGAAATCCAGGTATCTGGAATTTCGAAATATAAAGCTTTCTTTTAAGCTGCGATCCCCTCCCCGCGGGGATGTTAGTGCATGCGGCCCTAAGAAAGCCATGAAAAGAGTTCACATCTACTTTGTTCATCCGATCTTAACTACGTGATACTTCTCTATACTTTCTTATAAACTGGCAAAATTTTCGGACTCTGAATTCTTGCTTAGGTGGAGCACGATTCCATTCTGGCAATGACGACCGCCGAAACGCGCGCCTTTCGACATACACCCACCTTTCCATTGTTACCATGTAACCGCTGTTGGTAGCATAGTCATTGAAACTTTCATGCCTTTTTTAGCTCTCAGTGATCGGGCTTGCAGATTTGCATGCGTGGCCTGATGACAGCTGATGGCTTTTTGATACCTTCTTGATAAAGAGAATCACGCACCGGCGCGAATGGAAAAACTCGACGTATGATTATTCATTTACTCATTCATAAAGAGCAGAAAATCGGTAACAAAGGCGAAACGGTTGGAGCAACACTTTGCAGAATTTGCAAAATAATACCATACCGTCTAAAAGTAGTAAAACACGTTGAAAGTAATGCAAAAACTCACCACTTTCTTATCCGTTTTGATAGGTACTCCACCGACTCGTCCATTCGTAAGTATGCGAGTGAGTTCAAGCAAATCGCTACGTTGTGACACAAGATCGACTTTATTAATCATGTAAGATATTATCTGTACATATTTGGTATGTAATCACACTTATTACTTTCTTGTACTACTACACTGTTACTGTATCATTCCGTTCCCATATGATTTGTTTACAGATCGCCCGATGCCGAGGCTCGCCAGACGCCGCCAGACAGAGAGGGAGGAGCGACTTCGAGACAGTGAGGAACGTACGACGACGGAGCCACCTCGTCTTCTGGCTCAGATCCTTTTATTTCTGATTGTTCTGTTATTATTTGTTATCCATGGATTATTATTTGTTGATCTTGTTTTCTTTGATGCCATAAGGATAAACTTGAGTATTAGAAGTTGTTTTTGGACATGTCCGAGGCTTAGTCATTATCTAACATGGTATCGATCATTAAAGAGGGTGACGATATCCATAAGTGGTAGCAGCGAGTGCGGCCTCATAGTAGCCCGCGATTCCACCAATCTTCCTCTTCTAAAAAAAAATCCTCATGGGAATAGCCCATGAGTTGACCGGTTTTAGCCTCGACCGGGGGTAATTTTGACTGGAAAATTCAGTAGCGTGGAGTCTAGAAGATGGCCACTTCCTAGGCTCATAATCTCTCTCAATTTTCTCTTCAAATTACCTGTTTTTATTGATTTGTGTGATTTTATTTTCGGTGGGATAGTTCGTTGATTTTGGATAAGAAACATAAGATACAGTTGATTTAAGTTCCTCACTCACTCCCTCGTCACCTATTTGGGACCAGGACAGAAAAAGCATTTTAAATGATACAAAATATAAGAGAAAAGTATAATTTTGCATGAACAGTGAAACTACAAAAGAATATGCAATTACAGTGATCCTTTTTCGTACATTACGCTCTGATAGGAGGCACGTAGCATCACTTATCTATCCTCCAAAACCGCCGTCTTTTTATAACTATGATGGGCCCCCCCACCCCCCGTTTCCGAGAGGCAGGAGGGCCAAGAGAACCCCCCTATAAGCGACGGATGTCGGCGCATCCCACTTTGCAAGAAGGTTTTTGATGGAGGGTAAGCTTGGAAATACAAGCAGTAGTATGCTGGAACGATTGCAAAGCTTTGGCCCGGGAGGGGATTTGAACCCTCACTTGGACTAGCGAGAGACAGACTCGATCGCCTTGCGCCATCCGCCGCTTATCAACAGGCACCTTTCTGAGCTAATTGAGCCGGCGCCGCCGAGGATCGACAGGTAGAGACACGTTAACCAGCTGGCAGAAACGGTATGAGTGAACTTGTCGATACATGACCAACGGCGTGGCAAATCATCATCGAATATCGATCATCTCTTCATTCGGCTATTTCTATCCTCCACATGGATCCACCGGACTAGGTGAGTATTTTTCGTATATTTGTTCGTTTTCTTCTACAAATCACCGTATTGTTGGCTCGCCTTTGTTTCGTTGCAATCTGAGCGTATGCGATTATTCTACTCACATCACTTTTTGCTCTCATACTCAGTCTATTTTGGTTATCTCTGATCACATAAAACTAATTCTACGAACAAGCTTCTTTCTGTAACAACTTTCTCCAAAATCCCCTTCTTTTGCAGTCTTCCATGTAGGTGCTCTGTTGTGATAGTGTTTGCTCTAGAATTTTTCATATATTCCAGAACCTCGATTCTCTATCTCGATCCATCCGTTCCTCGAAAATAGCAAATTCTCTATCGCTAAATCTTATGCTAAAACCTATCATTTCTTTTTCGAGCAAGTCGCCCAGAAATTTGAATCGCAATCGCAAAATGCTTCTTTGTGCAAAGTTTCCTTTCTTATGCTCGAGCCTCTTGTCACTCATGCTAGCTCGTTTCCTTGTGCTAACTTTCGCAAACTCACAGCCCTTTCTTTGCAATAAACAAAGCTCGCTAGCATACGCACGGTCTTTCTTTTGAAGTTCGAAATTCCTTTCATACTCGCAATTGTAAACATTGGTGCTTCTCAGGCGCGATAGCATCTTTGTTTCTTTATTCGAGCAAACTTTCACAAAGTGCTTTCTTATCTTGGCTTTCATCAAGCACATGTTGCCAACGGCAGAAACAAAGATGCGGCGCGCACAAAGAGCACATGCCATCGAGTAGGGTATATAATATGCCGACTTAGGCAGACCGGCACCCACTCCACAGTCGAGTACTTCGACTACACCGCTGAGGACCTTTGGAGAAGCGACGCCTTCTCCCATTCTGGACAACATTGCTCGCATTACGACTCGTTCAAAGACGACTACCCAGGACAACTCCGACTCATCGCGATCTTCACCACCGGAAACCGTAAGTCCAGTTGATCCTGTTCTACTCGGTGGAGGCATGTCCTCAACCGAGGTTAATGCCTTATCTCAAGCTTATAGCGGCCTTACCCTCGGGAAGCTCGCACCTAAACACATAGATTATTTTTCTGGGGAAAATTTCCAAGACTTTAACGAATGGCATCGTCAGTTTGAAGACATCATACGCACTTCCGTAGTCCCACTTCCCGAGCAAGGTAAAGTAAATACGCTGTATGCAACTCTAAGAGGTGAGGCGCGCGATGTTATAGATGAAATGCAACCTGAAGATAGGAATAACTATGACAAAATCATTTCATTTCTTCGCTCGCATTTTGAGAAACCACAGTTTCAGGATGCTGCCAAACGCGAATTAGCTAATTGTAGGCAAAACGCAGGGGAAGATGTCTATTCTTACAGTAAGCGCATAAAAAAGGCCGTGTATAACTTCATGCGCCACGAACCTCAAACTAAAATTCAACAAAAACTTCTGGAAGAGTTTGTGGATCGCCTAAGATTAGACTTGAAATTTTTTGTTCGACCACATAAATGTAAAACTTTTGAGGATGCCCTGGAGAAAGCGGCGGATTATGAAGCGCTCCACAAGGAAGCATCCGACAACAACTTGGTCTACCATCCAGAGCTGCACATATTCGTCCCGAAGGCCGACCTGGCGAGAAGAACGACACCGGAAACCAATCAAGAAAGAATGGATCCACCAATGGCCGACAACTTCAGACCAAGAGAGGTAAGGCAGTTTTCAAATGGATTCAATAGATCCGCTGGGGTACGTCCTCAAAATTCTAACGTAACATGCTATAAGTGCGGTAGAAACGGTCATTTTGCTAATGTATGTCGTACTAGCATGCCTCCCCCACGTAATAACTTTAACAATAGGCGTCAGTTCCCCATCAGGAATAACCCCCAACCAAATTCAAATTATAGACAGAATCCAAGAGAACGCATAGATCACTCTAGACCTATTGCGCAACGTAATCCGATATCTCAACAACATCCAGATACTTATGACAGGTCTAATGTGCTAGCAGTTGAGCAGACCCCAGCGCCAGATACCACTAATCCTTGTAACCAATCTCTGCTCGAGGAAAAAGATGCCCATATTGCGGCACTAATCGCCAGAAACAACGCGTTAGCAGACATTGCGTATGCAACCCGTGAACAAAACACTCATAGCAATAGCGAAGAGACATCTCGACGCACATTTTCCTCATCGTCCAATTCTTCTAAACTTCCGTATACTATGCTAGTGGTGCTTGCGTTGGCAGCTCAAGCCTCTGCTTTTGAATTGCCTCCTGCGTATCTATGCTCTCACAAGTCACCCGTTACTTACTGGAAAATACCATCCGAGATAAATTGTACTAAATTATTGCCTAGTTGGTCTGCAACAGCCCATCCAATGAAAATCAAAGTTTTCAGACCCAACACCATTAGATATAAAAGTGTGGCAAATGTTTGTAGAATAATTACTCAGACTGTCATTTATTCGGTAAACTTCTTTGGTGCTCGCTCACAGAATACTGTAACGAAAGAGCAGACAGTCTCAGAAGGGGTGTGTCGACACATGATTAGTCACAAAGCGTGTGCTCATGGTGAACTTTCAGCAGTAGGCACTGTTTGGAAAACTTCAAATAAACTTGAAATTGTATGGCCTTCCGCTCCTTTTCATTGCTGTTCGGATTATACTACCACCGTTTCGAATTGTGTTGTATTCCAGGCTACAGTATATGGATATCACGATTCCCCAACACTAGACAGCACGATTGGACCACTACAGGGATGCCGCTACGAAGACGGATCATGCACAACCAAGGATGGAGCGGCCGTGATTTGGACACCAGAATCAGAGGAAAAATGTAAGTATATTTTAGTTGCCCCCATGAAGGGTACTTTGGTAGACAAAGTCTGGTTAAGTGATAGTAAAGAATTTGCGCTCTCATTCCCTTCTCTTGAATCTCATTTCCTTGATTGTTCTCACACTCTCACTCTCACTGATCAGGGCTATGCCGTCCAATTTTATAACTCTCCCTCTCGTCCAAAAAGACAATCACAGCCAACCTTTTTGCAACAGGTTGGCGTTGCTACTACTAATCAATTAGCCGCTCAGCTCTTAGCCGTAGAAGATACTATGCATAATTCTTTAAGCACTTCTCTGCATCATTCGATTCTTTCATTGTGCAAATCCATGAATTCTCTGAGCATGTCCTTGACAGCCGCTATCTCGGCTAATCCCACTATAGCCATGCGCAATATTTTACAGCGTTCCGATATCAAAGCGAACTTTATAGGCGAAAACATTATTGGTACGCAAGCCTGCACACTAATTCCTCCGTCGTTATATTCTTTAGTAAGATTTAACTCTTCTTGCTTCTCACGTCCCTCTGTCATTGTTAACTTACCTAATAAATCTCAATGGAAAACATTCATCGATCCCGTAACGGGAGTTTTGACCAATAATGCAGATTCTATTCCTTGCTCCGAACATTTATCATTCGAAATCCCTTGCAACAATTCCATTCTAAAATTTTATCCATCCACATATATCTTTGAATCTATACCTTCCTCTGAAATCACAACTCTGCAACTTTCTAGTGATTATTCACCTAATTCTGTGAAGCCAGCTTTGACCCTATTTCACAATTTAGTTATTACTAATCTAAGTGAGTTCGTCCCCGAGCAACAATTTAGTGAGCTATGGGCAACCCTTGAGGCTAATGAAGCGACTTTAAATGCGCACTTAGATAGCTCTAATGTCCACCAGTTGCACACATCCCTGGCAGCTACCGTAGCCAACGTACCGACATATTCTTTACTCAGTTACGTAGTGTCATACATTTATCAACCATGGGTCACAATATGTTGTGCTATCATTACCCTGCAGGCCCTTTCACGCGCTCTCATGTTATACCTCTCCATTCAAACACCAGTAAATTTCCTACAATATCTGCGTAACCATAACTCAGGGAATCAAAGTATTCCCGCCCCAAACAATTCAAATAATTCTTCTGGAGTATTCCAACTAGCGGCAACTAAAGTTTACGACTTTCCTAAAGTCTGCCATGTATCCCTTGTACACCCAGTCACATCTGCGCACATAAGAATCAAAATCAATGACATTAATGTATCAGCGCTAGTTGACACGGGGTCCACAATAACGTTAGCATCTGATGGGTTATGCGCAGCGTTGGGAATATTCCACCTCGATAAGGCTCAAACAAGAGCAGCTTTAGGTATGGCGGGAACACCTATACCAATGGCGGGCTCAAAAAGGGCTAAATTTGAGATAGGTGACACCCAAATTTACTCAATTTTGCATTTTACTAAGGGCCATTGCGTACCCAATGTAGACTCCAACTACGAAGTAATTTTGGGGCACGATGTCCTTTCGCAATTACCACCCATGACTATTGACTATCAAAGCAAACAAGTATCTTTTGGCAGTACGGTATTACCACTGGGAGCACCCTTCACAAAGAACAATGATGTTGATTTGGAATACCCAATAAGAGTCAAGGATACAGTATGCATTCAGCCCAATACAGAAACTTTTGTAGCATGTACGGCCCCGCCCACAAACTTAGGAAATGATTTTGTATTGGTATCGCAAAGCGCAAAACTAAATGACAAGGACCTCATAGTAGCTCCATCCATAATCGATTCTAAAACACCATATATCTTGGTGACAAATCCCACAAACCAACCGGTTACTCTATACGCGGGAATGCGTTTAGCTAACGCTTCCGAAGTTGTCCAAGAGGGTCTTACTGTAAGTGAATTACATGATACGCCAATGCCCGCGATCTCTTGTGTAAGCGAATTAACTAACGACGACCCTAGTTATCGCGTAGACCTTGATAACAGCGATCTAAGCGATGTAGAACGCGAGCAATTGGCAAATTTGCTTATAGAATTCGCCGATGTATTTTCAAGACATCAGTATGACATAGGTAGCTGTACAGCTGGTAAGGTGCACATTTACACCAATAATGATCCACCAGCGCGCATTCGCCCATATCGTGTCCCAGTAAAATACCGCGAAGAACTGCAGAAACATGTAAATATGCTTTTGAAGTGTGGGGTAATGAAAGAGTCACATACTCCGTGGGTGCATAATTTAGTGGTAGTACGTAAAAAGGATAATTCCCTGCGCGTATGTTTAGACATGCGCCGCCCAATTAATGAAGTAACTTAACACTCCCTGATCCGTACCCAATCCCCCGCATCGACGATGTGCTAGAGAAAATTGGTGGAAATAAGTATTACACCACTCTAGATCTCGCTAGTGGCTACCTACAACTGCCACTAGATGACGAAAGTAGTTATAAATGCGGCGTAATAACTGAGAACCGCGTGTATCAAATGACACACTTACCATTTGGCCTTAAGTCTGCCAGCAGTTATTTTGCGCGCATAATGACCCGCGTGTTAGGGGGCCTAGAGGATAATGTGCTTACATATATTGATGACATTCTCATCTATAGTAAAGATTTCCCATCCCATCTCAGCGCTATCCAAAAAGTATTAACACGCCTGCGCGAATTCCACCTAAAAGCGTCGCCCAAAAAATGTGTCTTCGCTAAGCATCAAATTACGTTCCTGGGGCATACGGTCAATATGCATAGCTATTCTCCCGCGGAGGCGAATACCCGATCCATAAGAGAATTTCCCACCCCGCGCAATGTCAAAGAAGTTAAGCGTTTTGTGGGCATGGTAGGATTCTTTCGGAAATTTATCCCAAATTTCGCAAATATCGCTGAGCCGCTTACTTGGCTAACGCGTAAGGACAATAAATTTCAGTGGACTGATAAGCAGGAAGCCGCCTTCGTAGAACTTAGAGATGCGTTATTACAAAAGCCTATTCTTGGGTACCCAAACTACAATAAACCGTTCCACATCTTTACGGATGCTAGTCTGGTAGCTCAAGCGGGTGCTCTAATGCAGGAACACGAAACGGGGCCAAGTAAATATTATGCCATAGCGTACTGTAGCCGCACTTTGAGCGATAGTGAGCGTCGCTGGCCCGCGGTACAAGTAGAACTAGGTGCGATTATATATGCGTTACGCCAATTCAAACCCTATATCTGTATGTCTGAAGTAGTCTTGCATAGTGATCACAAGCCGCTAACATTTCTACTGAATAAAAGCAAAACGCATGATAACCTTGCGCGGTGGATAATTGAGCTGCAGAGTTACAACATCAAAGTTGTACACGTAAAAGGCGAAAAGAATACGGTAGCCGACGCATTGTCGCGCATTTTCGAGGATTAAAGCGAAATTCCAGAAGTTAGGGACGAACTGCAAGATATCATTGAATTTCCTGTTAGTTTACAAACATTCTGCTTGGCTACAGGTGTAAAACCCAAATCCTCACCATTTCCCAGAAAAACATTCGTCAAAGGTCTAGAACACGCTATCAACTTCGCAGATGAACAAAAATCCGACAATTTTCTAAGTTTAGTTTTCCAGCTAAAAACCGCTGAAAATCTAGAGCCCTCTACTGACGAGCAAACAAAAAAAGAAGTATCAGAGACGGCAAACAAAACAGTTATAAAATCTGACGGTTGCTTATATTACCAGTTTGAACGAAAAGACACGGTAAAACTACTTTTATTGGTACCTCAATCATTACGACATTTGCTGTTTGAAGCTCACCATTCTAGCGCACTTTCTGGAGGTCACGTCAGTTGGCGAAAAACGTTAGCCAAAATTTTGCGCAAATATTATTGGTTTACAATCTATAGTGATATACAAAAATGGTGCGAAAGCTGTCTCACATGTCAAATGCGCAGAAAACCTAAACCAGCATATAAAGAACAACTTATTCCAGTTCACAGCGAAGCCGTTTTCGCCAAAGTTGGACTCGACTTATGTGGACCTCTCAAAACTACAGATAGAGGTAACAAGTACATTTTGAATATCGTCTGTTGGTTTACCAGGTACGTGATTTCTACGCCTTTACCTGATGCAAAAGCAGTTACTATCGCTCATGCACTTTTCACAGAATGTGTTTTGAAATATGGAACAATGACTGAATTGATCTCTGACCAAGCTTCTAGTTTTACCTCGCATTTCTACCAAGAATTTTGCAATCTCCTCAATATACAACAAAAACTAGCTACACCGTATCATTCTATGGGTAATGGCGCAACAGAAAGAACATTTGGAACATTTCAGGTCATGCTGTCAAAATTCATCAACGAAAAGCAAGAGGACTGGGACCTATTCGTACCCTGTGTCACATTCTGCTACAATACCACCATCAACGAAGCGACAGGTGAGTCACCTTTCTTTTTAATGTTTGGTAGGGATCCAATTTTCACAGTAGATAGGATTTTGATGCCACAAACGCGCGTAAAAATGCCTAACTTTGACGAAACTTCTGAGTATAAAGCGCAGCTTATTTCCGCATTACATTTGGCTTGGTCTAACGCAGCAGAACATGCGCGTTCTTATAAGCAAAAAATGAAAGATCAGTACGATAAGACCGCTAGACCAACGGAAATCAAAGAAGGAGATCGCGTTTTATTCCGTAACTACACCAACAAGCAAGGGTTGGCCAGAAAATTGTGTTTCCCCTGGATCGGTCAATTTAGGGTGGTAAAATTGGAACATCCTCATGCAGTAATTGTTAGTATCACTGCGCCGCAATCAAAACCTCGTAGGGTACACCTAAACCAAATCAAAAAAGTAGTGGATTACACGGGCCCAGCATCCACGCTTCCAGTGATACCAGAAGAGGAAAACTGCATAAAAGAAAGTCCTGAGGAAGAAATTATAGGTTATGACCACCCACCCACAACTCTCACAGAAATTACGCCAGTCGAAGAAGTAGAATCTCACGGATACAATTTACGCTCTAGGAGAAATACATGAGATATAACTGTACGAAATGATAGAAAAGTTGCAAACATTATTTCAGGAAAAAGCACTGTTTCAGGTTTTCCACAAACCCGACGACAACGATTTTGATTCGTTTTTTCCTTTTACCATCAACATTTTTTTCCTTTTTTTTTCCAACGCACGCTTCCACTCCTCAAAGTCCTCGTTTTCACTAAGATTTAACATCATCGTTCTTTCTACATTTTCCATTCGCTCACTTTCAATTTCGCGATTTTCTCCATTTTTTACTGCTCATCGCCGTAAAATAACTCGTCATTACCTAAAAACCGCCAAAATCTCAGAATTTCGTATTCCAGATAATGTCTGACTATCTTGCTTCCAACGTTTCCATGGACGTTACCTCGTCAGAGGAACCTCCGACAACACCAACTGTAGCACCCGAATCCTGTGGTATGTAAAATTCATAACCAACAAGAATTTGATCTTAATCCCTAAACATAGTATATTGCAGTTTCGGAGACATCACCAGGTGATGTGCATCTGGAGGAGGAGAAGATCGACGTTCAGGACGTAGAGACGTCCTTGACCACGTCGATCACCGAGTCGTCGAGTGCAAAGGATGGGGAAACGTCCTCGATCGCTCCTGATGCCAAACCTCCGATGGCAACGGAATCACAGGACACTCAGGTACAGCTCGTCACCTTTTCGAAGGGACCAGCAAAACAAAAAAGTCAGAAAATACCAAACATTTGTGGGGATTCGTCCTCATCAGAGGATGAGCCTTGTTGTAGTAAGAAGCCCATCACCGTAAAGGGATCGGCGCCCAAAACACGTACCAGGAAGGATCGTAGCTACTCGCGATCGCCTTCAGATTCGGAGAGCGAAGAGTATGCTCATCCTGCGAAAATGTCTAAAATGAGCGCACAGGTAGAAGGCGCTCTGGCCAAGTTGGTTGAGAATACTTCTCTCACACCAGCCGCTGTGGAGGAAACTTGGTCGGAACCCAAAAAGGTTTTCCATCGTCGTGAAGATACCGACAGAAGGCGCAAAGACGCGCACGCCAGAAGGGAGCTTGAGTATTTCACTAGTCACCCATTTGCAGATCTTTTAGAAGGAAAACTATCGCCGGTCGAATCGCCCTACTACAACACTGATTTGAATGCAGATCAGTTTGAACGCATTCCAGCATCCGGGTACAGCGGACTAGTGGAAGGATTATTTCCATCACCAGTCGGAGGTATTCCGAAGTCATTGCGCTCCAAAGTGACTATTTTGGAGGCAGTGGGACCAGTGGCAATCGAATCGTTCCGAAACAGAAACAGGTACGATGAAATTGTCACATTACGTAGGAATGGACAGCCCCTACCAACGATGGCGACCGCCGACATGGGGACGAAAGAAGAACTCTCGAAATGTGTCCATGGACTGGTATATGATGGTGAGCTACAGCCAGTTTTATACCGCATTAAGTCACTTTTTGGCAACGGCGCGAAATTGGAGTCAGTACATTTCGAAGTACCCCTGCCAAACCGGCTGGACTTAGTCGTAATCACAATCGACCCTTTTGCAATCAACATCGCGACAGGTAAAAGAGGCATCGATATTTCAAAAATGATGATAGGCGATTTGATATGGGTATACAGCCTGGCAGTAACGGTAAAGTTCAAATCCGGTAAGGTACAAGCGCCGCAGAACATTGAACAAGCGTTCCAGATCCGACAGGCAACTGTCTGGCGCGTGGACAGATTCGCGCTGATCCACCGTGAATTGGTACCCACGTTAGGATTTGTGGTGAGTGTTAATACTGACTCGGCGCGCATATGCATGCAGGGACACCGTCGACTAGTAACAATAACGGATTTCCGCATGGAGAATCCACAGGAGTTCAATAGCTTGGAAGCAAACTCGTTCATAGTTGCACCATTTAGAGCACGGCAACTCGACTACATGGTCTTCTGTTGCGAAGCGCGAAAAGCTAACGAACTTTACGCTTACATTGCAGAAGTACCGTACCACAGTAGTCCGGCACCGGTACCTTTCGACATCCGCAAGAACAGCAATGACCATCGAGAACTGGTGGAGAGCAAGTTATCGCGCTTTGAGCTGTTTAGCACCAGTCCCGGTGAGGTTATTCACTTCCTCGAACCCCTCTATAGCACGGCCTGTGGAGCCATTGCCGCTGCTATCAAGGCCACTACCGACGCAGCAGTACATCCAACCGTCTGGGAATCAGCAGATCTGAACGAGTTCCCTATTAAAGCTACGTTTTCTATCCCAATAGGCAGGAAGTCAGGTTGGGCAGTAGGACGAATGGTAAGAGGAGCGTACATGTCAGATTTCTTAGAAGGACAAATTGTCCACATTAACATGGGCGCCTCCGAATTCCAGGTCACCGCAAAGCTTCAGACTAATTCAGGAGTACGCTTCCGAACCTACTTGGTTAATTCTAGGACGAGACGTATTTCAGTGGCTACGTCGTTGAACACAATGGAAGAAAGGGCCAATCCAGTCCTTAAAATGCTCGAAGCTTCCACATTATCCAATTTGTTCCATCCAGGAACTTTGGGATGGAATTCAGCCCGAGCATTACTTTCAGGCGATATAGACCTCGAAGGGATCGAACGTCCAGAAAGAGAAAGTATTTCAGTGAACGTGGCAGGTAACCCAGTAGAGCTCAATCGCCATCAAGTTAACGCCGTGAACACGTTCAACAAGAATTTCCCTATCATGGTCGTTGATAGCGCTTACGGCGCTGGTAAATCACTTTGTACAGCAGTTATGGCCCTTGAAGCAGTGGAAAACGACGAGAAAATTCTCGTAGCTGCGGTACAAAACAGCGCACTTGATGTGATCGGATCAAAGATCGCACAACTGCAATCAGACCTAATCAGACCAGTCAGGTATGTAAACGACATAATGGCTTCAGATCCCGACAACGAATCGCCATATGCGTTGAACACGCTAATGGAAAACTTCCACAACACGCACGGTCATCTTCTGAGTGATACGATGTACCGCAAGTTCAAGCAGTTTGCCGAAAGTCGCCAAGAAATGCGGGAATTCGTCTTCACAGGGACGGAGAGACAGGTTCTATCAAACGAGCACAAGAGGTTACTTATCCTAGAGGAAAACTCATCGGAGCAGGTAAAAATCTTAGCGGCGCATTTTTTGAAGATCTACAAGCCTAACGTATACTTGTGCACAATCGCCGCTGCGCTAAATCTTACATCGAAAAAAGGGCTCTGGAGAACCATTGGGAACTCATGGAAGTGCGTTCTCCTAGATGAAGCTTCCATGATCCCAGAAGCTGCGCTAATGGCAATGCTGTCGCGATTCCAGAACGCGCGCTTCACCCTCATCGGTGATAGCAAGCAGCTGCCACCTTACATTGGAGTGCACACTATCCCGCTAGCGGTAGAGGTAAGCTCCCGCTCAGTTTTGGATGTAGCCCACGTAAACGGAAATGTACCAATTTGCACGGTAAGTACGGTCTATAGACCGCACGCGGAAATGATGCACCTAAACTCGGACCTATTCTACGACGGGCGCCTAGTGTGTGGAACTCCCACGCATCAGCGTCAAGGACTTCTCTCAAGAACTCGAATGCCTAACGGGCGCATTCCGGTGGCTTTGGTCGATGTAGCGAGCCACTCGGTGAAATCAGTAACGGGATCCCACAGCAATGACATCGAGGCAAATGCGGTATTGGTACTCGTCCGTCACCTCATGGCGGTAGGCATGCGGGCTGATGATATTCTAGTCATTTGTCTATACCGCGACCAAAAGTTCCTATGCGAGTCCACATTGCAGGCAACCGGCGTCACAGTGGGCACGGTCGACAGTGCGCAAGGATCTGAACGATCCGTAGTCATTCTGTGTACCACCAGGACACAAATGGAAACAAGGACCACGAGGACGTTTTTCTCGGACGAAAAAAGGCTGAACGTGGCGTTGTCCCGTGGTAAGGACGGTCTTTTTATCATTGGCTCGGTCAAATTTTTGCAGGACGTCGAAACATGGTCGGCCATCGTCCGTTGGTGCCGCGAAGCTGGCGTCGTCACGGACCTCAACTTCTTCGACAACCAGATGCGGCCGATGTTACGATACTGAGTCCGAGGACGGACTCTTGTTAAAGGGGGGAGGTGTAAGATATTATCTGTACATATTTGGTATGTAATCACACTTATTACTTTCTTGTACTACTACACTGTTACTGTATCATTCCGTTCCCATATGATTTGTTTACAGATCGCCCGATGCCGAGGCTCGCCAGACGCCGCCAGACAGAGAGGGAGGAGCGACTTCGAGACAGTGAGGAACGTACGACGACGGAGCCACCTCGTCTTCTGGCTCAGATCCTTTTATTTCTGATTGTTCTGTTATTATTTGTTATCCATGGATTATTATTTGTTGATCTTGTTTTCTTTGATGCCATAAGGATAAACTTGAGTATTAGAAGTTGTTTTTGGACATGTCCGAGGCTTAGTCATTATCTAACATGGTATCGATCATTAAAGAGGGTGACGATATCCATAAGTATCACAAGCGATGAAGGTATATGAGAATGCCGATGAAGCAAATGCAATACGCGATGATGTATGTAGTCTCCTGGAGCTGTAGCGTCCTAGAAGACAGTTTCAAAACTTTAAATCAAACAACCGTATTACTACCTGTACAACAAGAACGTGCTCGGCTCGTTGGAGCGCTATTTCTGGCCCGGTAAGGATAATATCGTCTTGGCTGCGACCCATGGTTGCTTTGGCATGCCGCAACCCTATCGTTCCTGGACTATCGCAAACTACGAGCTGTACGTTGTCTTCTGTGATTACCGCCTCGACATTCTGAAAGAATGTGCCACTGAAAAAAGTACCACCTTCTTGAGGATCTGAACGTTATTCGGAACAGAAACGGTGTTGAGAACCACCATACTGATATGCGACATATATTCGGTCAAAGTAGTTGACCACTGACATTTTGTTTTCAGAACCGTTCTCAGGACGATTAAATTTGGAGATTAGAGCTATATTTGTTTCATGACACTGTTACAGCTCCAGCGCCTTGCGTTTCTGCAACCGCCTCACTCGGCATTGTGTCGCGTTCGCGGACGTATTTTGCGCGGACTTGTCTACGTTTGAGGGTTGGGCCAGACTGTGCGGCGTACGCGACGCACGCGGCGTACCACACATGCTCAAAGGATGGGGTATACTCTGCGTATGTCGTGTACGCTGTGCAGTCTGGCAAGACCCTGAGAAGGATCTGAAGGCTGCAGGGCGTGGGAAAAAGGAAGGATACGTTTGCACCGAGCAAGGCGCAGCGAAGATAGGAGTCGCTGCTCCGCAAAGCAGCTAAATCTCTCTGACAAGTAGGAACAAATGCCGAATTGTGAAAAAAACAAAAAAGTATCATGTCGTGGAGACCAGGAGTGGCGACCTACGAAAGGGCCGCCAAGCGACCGTTTGGGCGCGCATTTCAGGCCTCGGACATACCTCACGCGATTTCAGTCGCGACGCGATTTGGCAATACTCCAAACGTTCATAACTCATCGTACGGGGTTTCCAAATGTACGGAAGATGGAACATTTTATCAGCCTACGAAAGTTATACATGCTGTACATTTGGGGTCTACCAGTATTAAATTTGAAAACATCTGGAAAATTGCTAACGTGGCAACTGAAATTGCGTGAGGTATGTCCCTTGCCTTAGGGATATAGATAGTGCGGCGCTGAGCGATCCGAGGAAGTCTCCTAGCTCCAGGTAGTTTCTTTGTTTTTACCTCACCCATCATTCATCTTTTCAATTTTAATCCTTTTTGTCAATGTTGTCTTTTTGTTAAAATAAATTGTTTCGTGATTTTGTGTACTAGTGTCGTGGTAAAAGGCTAGAGAGCCATTCTATCTACTGACCGAGCCCTAATGAGGCGGATACAAACCGGGCCTGAAGTAGTACGGAGAGAAAATGAAGAGGCAAGGATAGCGGGGAAATACAGAGAACAAACTGATAAAGTCTTACGGGAACAGACCAAGTCAGTTAATGCGGAGCTAGAGAGAATCAAGGGGGAATGGAAGCAAATGGGAGACTTCATAACGAAGTTTTGCTTTCTTTTGCTGGAGAGAGGCATTGAATCAGCGGGTGATTTAAGGGGACACCCTATCACAATCTCAGATAATCGCCGGGGGCAGGCGGTCCGCAAACTCACGCTTTTCTGCAAGCCAGCAGAATTTTGGGGCGTGGCCAAACCTTCAGCGAGCGGTACTTCCTTTACTGTCTAATATTCTGCCAGCGGGCAGCAACACAGCATTTTCTGCAGGCGCTCGTCAGATAATCTCTTTCAGCAAACGCTGGCCGAACTTTCAGCAGGCGCTCGGACCCTTTTTACGCAATTTCGGGCGTACGCCGAGAAAATATGAGACTCTATGTGGCAGAGGTGTCACCGTTGGTTTAATTACTCAAGTTTGAGGTACTTTCTCTCAGCGGAAAGTGCCTGGGGGCTGCGCGGTCCTCCACAAAGGACCGTGCGGCCCCCGAAAATTTTGCATATTCTCGCGGAAAGCCCGCGAGAATGCGGCCACTGCGCCGCAGCTAATCTATAAGGAAACCGCGATTGTTCTCCAAACATTCGTCCAAAATTCGCTAAAATTCCTCCAAATATCTGCAAGCGGACCGCAAGAAATCAGCGAACTATTTTTCCGGTGCCCGCCCGCCCATAAATCGCATGGCCGCCTGCCCCCGACGATTATCAGAGATGGAGAAGGATACAGATTTGACAAATGACATCTGCAGAATGTTCAATACTGATGTATTCCAGTCAATGAATGTGCTCACCGTAGTACACAAGAGCGCCTTCAACAGGCCGAGAGACACAGTGGAGAACATGGATGTAGGCCCAATTAGTAAGGTCAGGGCAGCATAGAGAATTACAGTCAACAGGGAACTTATCGCGAATGTTTACAGAACGCATGGCCCACGCAGTCACGGAGTGGGAACCCCTCACGATTGCGCTGGAGGCCACATTCGCGGGACGAAGCGGAGACAGGTCAGTCTTAAAGCTTAATAGCCCTTATGCAAGCCAACGCATGTGTGAACCCTGATGTGTTCAGGGATGGTAGGCATGAGAATTTTGAGGAGTTTTTGAGGTTTAAAAAATATCAAGGGGTAATTAGGGATGACAAGATGCTGGTTGAAATTATGGAGGACGACCACCTCGAAGGAAGGGCGAAGAGTGTCTTTATGGCATTGCCGGAAGAAGTCAAGTGTAGGGGAAAATTGTGACGAAAACGTTGAGGAAACTATTAGCTAATGACTCAACAGCAGGGAGATTAAGGGCACTCACAGATCTTAGGCAATTGAAAAGCAGAGAGGGCAAAAGCGTGGCGGACTTTTGCGTGGTGCTCGAGAGTCTGGGCAGGGAAGTCAATCCTACCGCTACAGTAGGAGATAGGTCGCTCGAGTACACGCAAATATTGATGGACAACATGAAGGGATGGCCAGAACATACACAGCTACTAAGCGCGATTCACAGGGTAGAGCCGCAGGAGGCCTATAGCACGGTGAAGCAGCTAGCGCTAAGTATTGAGCAGTCAAAAGCGATTTTTGAGGCCCATGAGGTTGGAAGCAAGAAACTTAAGTGGAAGAGAAGGTATCATTGTTAGGAGCGCGGGGGTAAAAAAAACTTCAGGAGGAGGAAGCGGATAGTCACCGGAACAAGCAGGATAGAGCCAGACACTGTTGCAAGCACAGGAGATGGGGAAAGGAAGGAAGCAAGGGTTCCAAATGAAAGAAAAGACCTACCCAAATGTTTAAAGACGAGGGGAAAAAGCAGGCATTGACCCAAGAATATGCTTCACATGTAGAAGATATAACCATATTGGGAGGGATTGTCTATACAGACGCACCCAAGTGAACCAGACAGAAAAGGTTAAGAAACTCGAACAGGGCGAAAAGAAAGATACGCTCTCCCTTATGATGCGCAAAGCGATAAGCTTGGGAGTCAAGCTGCATGAAGGGAAAGGCCTATTGGTAGGTAAGAAATGCGCAGCCCAGATAAGTCTGCTAAACCTGCAGGCTTCCGCTATATTAGATACCGGGTCTATGATAAGCAACATCCCTGTAGGATTGTTGGCACGCGCGAAGGAAGCAGGCTACGACATAAACGTCTTGGAAGTAATCGCGGAGAGAGAGATGGTATCGACGACGCCTCGGCTAACAAGATGAATTTCTTGGGGGCAGTCAAGATCCCGTTGCAGCTGGAAGGAGGAAGGAACATATCGGATGTCAAGGACGATGATACATTGATAGGCACCAACGAATTAGCAAATTTGGGAGCCGACGTCATGCTAAGAGCACAGGAGCAACAGGAAAGGTTTGACGGCAAAAGGATAATGGTAACAAAGCGGGAGTATATTCCTGCACATAACTCAATACTCGTACCGGCGCGATGTGAAGGAGGTAGTGAACTAGAAGAGAGACTGGTGTGGCCAAGCAGGAAAGGCCTATCCGCCGGGGTTTTCACAGTGAAGATTGTCAACATTCCTGTCATGAACACTACGGAGAAGCCAGTGATTCTTAAGAAAGAGAGGAGCTAGAACAATGGGGCACAGAGAAGTGGAAAAGCAAGTGGGAAGAAATGAATTCACTAATGATGGACAGTGAGATACTGTACCTGGATAGGGAGGAACGCCGTAACATCCCGTATGCACAGCTGAGGGAAGGTTCCAAGGTAGAGCCTGGACGAGGACCTGAAGCAATTGGCTGACGAATTCGAGGAGGCCTTTGCTTGTTCGACACAGAGACGGGAACAGATAAAGCAGAGATGACCATTGAAACTGGTGATGCTAAACCAATAAAGCTGAAGACTAGACCCGTGCCGTTAGGGATCCGCAAAAAGCTGAAGGAGCTTCTAAAGGACCTGGGGAACCGGAAGATCATAGAGGAAAATAGTTTAGCCTGGGGCATGCCCGATATTGGTGGAGAAGAAGGAAGGTAGCCTGAGGCTATATGTGGACTACAGGGAGTTAAACAAACGGATCAAGCTAGACTCGTATCCATGGCCTACGATTGACGCGGTGCTGCAGAGCCTGGCAGGCAAAAAGTTCTTCTCCACGCTGGATCTGTGTTCGGGTTATTGGCAGATACCACTGGCAAAAGAAGCGAGGGAGAAGTCGGCATTCACGACGAGAGAGGGCCTGCTTCAGCTTAGGGTAACTCCTTTTGGTTTGAGCACTGCCCCGCGGTGTTTCAGCGCCTCATGGATTACTGGGAAGCGAAGTTTTTTGTTACATCGACGACGTAATCATATGCGCAGACACCCGAGAAAGGCATTTTGAGCTCTTTCATCTTTATCTTAATCTTTTGGCCATTCTAAAGGGTTTACATTGTTCATGTGCTGAGGCCGGATTTGACCCCCGGCCTCAGCATTCAGGTGATCGATTTGCGCGCCAAAGTTACCCATTTAAGGCGCCGGTGAAGGGGCTATGGACAGCCATCGACGTTCAGCTACGACTCTGATCTACCACATTCTACTGTATGTCATCTCTTCACTTTGTCGTACTTTATCACGTTAGTCGCCTCTGTTTTGGTTTTTTGCCTCATTTATTCGATACTCCGGCTCCAGGAGTTTTGGCATATCCTCTTAATGTTGAAATGTTGCAAGTTTCCTGCCTTGGGCTGTTTTGTTATTTGAATTTTAATGTTGTTCGTTCCGGTTTCTAAATTAGATCAATTCTAGTGCCCATATGATACGGTTGCTCATTATCGATACTCATACTTATGAAGTTCTACGATCCTCAGGTTATTCACTCAACACTGAAATGTTGTTCGTATTTGGTTTTGTTCGTATTTGTGTTGTTGATTCTATTTTTTGAATAAATAGGGTTTAATTACCCAAATTTGAGGTGTATGGTGTGGATTGGTGATTCTGCGGTTGCCCCCGCGAGTACTTCGGTCAATTCCGTTATTCTCTGATACTATTCCGATCGTTAAGTATACCGCGTGGCAGTGCTCGAGCTCGAACCGATTGGCACGAAAAGATCAACGAAGGCCGTTTCTACTACGAAGCACGAATCAGTCGAAAAGGTGGGAAGTTTAACCAAGATCCCTTCCCCCTTTTTTCACTTCCTTTTCAATCATTTTTTTTCTCTTCGATAAATTTTGGAGCTGCCCCCCCCCCTTTGACCTTCCCGGGGGACCATTACAAAATTTTCTGGTGCATCGGCCACTTACGAAGATCAGGCCGAACGAAATTGCGAAGTCGATTGGAGTCAACGAAGACGTCAAGGATCCGTAGACGAAGTAAGGATGGGGCCATCGCTAAAGCCGCACAAAACAAGGATCACGAAGTTGGGGAACACACTGAAGAAGATGATAGAAAGCTCCCAACATGTGGTGGCGTTCGAAGTCCCCATTATGGAGAACGAAGAAGAGTCAATGGATATACTTCGAACTAGGATAAAATCAATACAGCACCGCCACACCAACATCACCACAACCAAAGCAGCACTAGAGTCAGCGGTCTCTAGTTATCAGGAAGCCTTCAACTCGTTGGACAACAACTCCCAGGCAAGAAGAAAGAACATCCCAAGAGACGTACGTTGACCGCGCTTGGGATTTAACAGCGACGGCATTCTTCCTTCTTAACAAACTGGATGAAAAGGGGTGGAGGACTATATGTCGCCGAATTTGGAAAAGTCCCGCGCGGATTCCCTGCAGGAGCGCATGTCCGCGCATGTACAAGGATGCGTATTTGTCGCAAATGACCGCGGGGACCGCCCCTTTTTCGCGACATATAGTCCTCTACCCGACGAAAAGGAGATAGAACTTTCCTCCAGACTGGATAATTTCGCCCAAGCGGCAAGAAGAAGAGAGAGACAATTCGAAGCCGTCAACACACCTCAGGCATCCAACGAGTCGTCAAGAGGGACAACGCCGCCATCGTCCACCCAGCTGCAATCAATGCTGCCCAGGCTACAACTTCCCAAGTTTAGCGGAAGACGCGAGGAATGGGGGTCCTTTTGGGCCATATTCCAAGTCACCGTGGACGAACAGCCAATCCCCACGATGATCAAGTTCAACTATCTTCTCCAATAACTCGTAGGAGAGGCTAAGCAAACGGCAGCGCAGTTTCAAGTAGTAGAAGCAAGCTATCAACTAGTCATCGAAGCACTCAAAGGCCCGTATGCACGTACATCCCCGCGGGGAGGGGATGTGCGCTTAACCATTGAAATGATCCCCGCTGGGGATCCCCTCCCCTCCCCGCGCGAACCCCCGTATGCACAACAACCAATATCGTTCAAGGGATCCCCTGTGGGGAGGGGAAGTGAACCCTCTTATGCACAAGAGGGGATCAAGCGGGGAAATCACCTTGCTTTCGAATTTTCTATGAAAAACTCTTTCTTATTTCATATTTTGACTACAACTCATCTTCATCTCCTCACTTTAATTAATTTAGGGTTGCGGAATGCGCGTATGCAGTGACTGCGCTCGGGGCGCTAAAAATGAATTTTTCTACTCCCATTATGTTCCTGCTTTCTTGGATGCTGCCCACTTTCGTTCATGCTGCTCCATTTCAGCGTAAAAATGTTGAACTATAGAAGTTGATGTGTCTCTGCAAGGGAATGGGTAGAAGACGTTATGCTGCCGAAAAGGGGGGGGGGGTGCCGCGCGGACGCTCAAAGCAGTATTCTAACACATAACAGAAGCTGCAAATTGTACCAGCTCTCCATAAACGCTGTAACTATCAGCTGCATATCGTCCTTTATCCCAGGGGAATGATCCCCAGCAGCCATCCCTGCTATGCACAAGGGGAACGCTGGGGAGGGGATCACTCCCCAGGGGATTTCTACTCAGAAATAGGCAAATATGCTACTTTCTAGATTTTTTCGAGGCAGCTTATGTTAAAAAAAACAAGATAATGGCAACATGTCATGAAATATGAAAGTTACAGTGTGTTTACTCAGCCTATATAGTTAAAACTATTATGTTATATGAAAAATGCGCAAATTTCCTGAATGATCAAGAACTCCTACAAATAATCGAAATTGGCAGCTATTGTTGCTCGGATTTCTTCTTAAGAGGCGAATGTAGAAAAGAAAGACAAATTGCAAGCCACAGGTCGCTGAGAGAAGAACCCGGCTTTCAAAGAAAATCCTCCATCAAAATGAACGAAATGCTTGGTAATGACTGAGCAGAACCAGAATATCCGCGTCTCTAGCATGATCTACACCATCGAACCCCTACTTCTTTGCAGGGGATGTCGATCCCCTCCCCCGCGTTAGTGAGTTGAATTCGCGCATACGGGGTTCGAGTGGGGGAAGGGAAGGGATCCCCTCCCCCATTCGAACCCCGTATGCACTGGGGTTCGCTCGATCAATACCTCTGAAATCATTCACACCATCCCCGCTTGAGTGCAGGGGAGGGGATCGCTCCCCTCCCCTCTGTCATGGCGGGGTTCGGCGGAGGGGATCGTTCCCCTGGGGATCCAGTTCCCCTCCCCTCCCCAGCGGGGACGTACGTGCATACGGGCCAAAAAGAAGTATGGCGAAGACGCATCCATCATCGAAGACCTATTGATGCAGCTCGAAACCACCAAGGCGGATGGAATGTCCACTAAGCTACAGGCTAACCTACTAGAACGAATTACAGCCATCTTGACGCAGCTAGCCGCTGCGAAAGGCCAGGATGTCAATCAAAGACTAGTGCTCAGCCTAGTCTCACGAAAATTCAGTGCCGAAATTCAAGCAAAGGCACTCGAAAGGCGAGAGAGGCTCACAGATTCTCAACAGTGGACGTGGTCAGCTCTCCAAAAGGACTTACAAGACATTATCACTACCAAAGAAAGGATAGAAAGGAGTCAAGAACTGATCACGAAGCCCCATACGCCACTCTCTCCCCTAAGGGGAGAAAGTCAGGAGAGACGCCCGATACCAGCCTGCATCTATTGCAAACGAAGTAATCATCGATCAGTGGAGTGCAGGACTGTTTCAATATCGGAGCGGGCAGCGTTCTTGGCGAGGAATCAGCTGTGCACAAACTGTGGAAAACCGAATCACACTGCACAGAACTGTAAGAGTCAAGGATGCTTTAGATGTGGACTCAAGCACCACTCATCCACATGTCGAAGACTATTACCGCCGCCGAACCACGAACAATCTATAGGGACGACAACGAAGCCCCAACAAAACAATCAGCCAGCTCGAATAGTTCCCACATCCAACGTTGCACGAATGCAGCAAAGAGGAACAACGCAAGCCACACCTAAGCAAACCAGACAAAACCTGGTCACTATAGAAGAAGATAGTGAACCGGAAAGGATGACGAGACGGGAGCAGAGTCAACCAAGACGGGAGCAGAGTCAACCATGTAGGGGATAGCAATACCCAAACAACAGGAGCACTCCTCTTAACGGGAACCCACCATACAAGGACCCACAGAGTCCAGACAAGTCCAAGTACTCATGGACACAGGATCAGAGCTATCATTCATAGATAGCAAACTAGTAGACGAACTTCAACTAAAGGTAGAAGGAAATTCCACTTTACGTCTCAAGACGTTTGGAACGAAGCTGGCGAGAGAAGAAAAGCACCGTATAGTACACGTGGATTTAGTGGACAAAATGGGCGACACATATCCATGCAAACTATACGACTAGCAATTCTAACATCCAAGACGGCGGAACCACAGCTCACGGACGAAGACTTGAGCTACATCAAAGAACGTGGTCTACATCTATCAACGAAGACCAACAAAGACATTCAACCACGCGTTCTCTTAGGCTGCGACTACCTATGAGAATTGATGGAGAACGAAAAGTACAACTTACCCTCGGGCATGCATCTCATTGGGACGAAGTTTGGATTCATGCTCTCAGGGAAAAAGAAAAAACCTGTGACGAAAGCAGTATCCACTACATTACAAACCAGTAGCGAAGATAACGACTTAGACATATATGATAACTACTGGAAGATGGAATCCTCAGGGATCGAAGAATACACAGGAACTGAGAAAGAAGACAAGCAGATCCAAGAGGACCGAATTCTCAAGAAATTCAAAGAAACAATTGTAAGAAGACCAGATGGATACTATGTACGGCTACCATGGAAGGAGCCTCACGAATACCTACCAGATAACAGATCCATTGCACTAGCCAGATTGAAGTCACTGCTCAGACAGTACGAAGACCGCAAAGAATTCCTACAGAATTTCGATAACATCTTCAAAGATCAACTCCAGAAAGGGATCATTGAAGTAGTGGAAGAAGAGGCCGGCAAACCTCGACCTAAAGGTAAAATCATCCACTATCTGGCACATCAAGCAGTGGTTAACCCAGAAAAACGAAAAACTCCAAAGCGTTTTCGACGACGTTTTCGACGCATCAGCCCATTATGCTGGGAAGCCGTCACTCAACGATGTCCTTCACCAAGGACCCTTGACGATACCTAATATCTGCGGAATGCTTATGCGATTCCGAATGGGAAAGGTCGCTATGACCGCGGATATAGAAAAGGCCTTCTTACAAGTGAGGTTACACGAACAGGACCGAGATGCTACAAGATTCTTATGGCTCAAGAACCTAAACGAACCATCGAGCGAAGAAAACATTGTCACCTTCCGTTTCACACGAGTGACATTCGGTCTTATATCCTCACCCTTTCTGTTGGGAGCCACCATCAACTTCCATTTGGATACCACAGAAAGCGGGAACGATTTCGCCTCACAAGTGAAGGATAATCTGTATGTGGACAACCTCTTCATAACAACGGATGATAGAGACGAAGCCGTCAGACAATATAGAGAAGTCAAGCGAATCCTCGAAGATATCAATATGAACATGAGGGAGTTCACTACGAATGATGCAGAGGTCAGAAGACACTTCGAAGAGAGAGACCGAAGCACTTCAACGAAGTGTAAGGTCTTAGGGATCGAATGGCTCACTAACGACGACATATTAGTAGCCAGATGCGACGGAGAACCGCTGACAAGAGTGACGAAACGAGCGGTACTACACATCAACGCATCAGTTTTCGATCCATTAGGCTGGCTCACACCGCTTATGGTGAGAAACGAACACTTCTTCCAACAGTTATGGCTAAAACGCAATGAATGGGACGATTTGCTCTCTCAAGAGGACCAGGAGCAGTGGAAGAAGTTGTGGGAATCCATTGCAGGCTTCACGAAACAGTTACCGAGAAGACTTGGAACGAGGCAGGGAAATTATCAATTAATCGCCTGCAGTGACGCCAGCACCTACGCGATAGCAGCAGCTATCTACATTAGGCAAGGGACCGAACAGCACCTGCTGATAGCGAAGTCGAAATTACCTTCGTTAAAGGTGTCACATACAATCCCGAAGCTGGAAATCAACGCCTTGACGATAGCAGGAAGGCTGTTGCTATCCACTTTCGAAGAATTGAAGAGAACCATCAACATAAAAACAGCTTATCTTCTATCAGACTCGGAGATAGCCTTGAGTTGGCTGACGAACGAAAGCCCACAGAAGGCCAAGGAGTCTTAGTAGCGAATAGAATCAAAGAAATCAAGAAAGTAGCGAAGAAACTAGAGCAGGAATGGGTAAACACCTATTTCGGCTACATAAATACAAAGATAAATCCAGCAGACTGCGCCACACGAGGTCTCACAGCCCCGGAACTAAAACATCACATATGGTGGAATGGCCCTCCGACCTCACTCACGGACGAAAACGCCATTTATGAAGGGCTAGAACGATTCCAATTACCCCCTGATCCTGCTGAAGTATTACAGATCTCGAATGCAAGTCACCCACTCATACAGGAAGAACGGTTTAGCTCGCTTCGAAGACTGAAAAGAACCGTAACGTACGTTGGCAAATTCCTGAACAAATTGGCGAAGAACTTACCAGAGGAATCGAAGCAGAAAATCAGAAGAGCCAGTGGAATTCAGGAAGCTACGGATAAACTCCAAGTGTAAAGATGAGATTGAGGATGAAAGCATGTGTGCGATAGTTCGTTTGATCCATTTATATTGTTTCTTGTTGTTTTGAATATTGTTGTCTGCCGCGCTCCCTGCTCGCGGCAGGACCACTCGCCGACTTGGCGGGCCGGGCAGTGCGGGTGTTGCATCATTCGAAGTGCACTTTCAAGTTTTTCTCTGTTCGATCTCGAGGCGCACGTCTTTTGTCTTGCTCATTGTTCTTGCCTATCTTCTACTCTGTATTCTTTTTTTTGTGTTTTTTGTCGATAAACTCTTATTCCACGGTCGTGCTATTCCACAAAGGGGAAGGGACCACCCACCAGTTCTCTGTCTTTGTTTTACACAAGGAGCAGATCTAGTGCAAGCAGAAAGGAGCTGCACCAGAAAGAACACGAAGCTCTGATAACAGCCAACGAACAACGAAAACTCAACATTACCAGAGACGACAAAGGTATCTGGAGATGCTTCGGAAGATTAGGCAATAGTTGCCTGCAAGAAGACGCCAAAAACCCCATTTTCATCGCGCCGAACACGCATTTAGCGAAGCTCATGATCCGAGAGGCGCACGGTAAGCTCCACTGCGGAGTCGAATTTACTATGGCTGAGGTTCGAAAGAAGTACTGGATACCGAAGCTGAGACAGCAAACGAAAAAGGAGATCCAGAGATGCGTACCGTATCAGAAATTCAATAACTTGCCGTTCCGGTACCCACCGTTAGCGGATCTACCTACCAGAAGAGTAGTCAGATCACGACCCTTTCAAAATATTGGTCTAGACCTTTTTAGACCCATGAAGATACAAAGTAACGAAAACATTGTCTCGAAAGCGTATGGATGCATATTCACATGTGCAACAACCCGCCTCATGCACATTGAGCTCATCCGAGACAACTCGGCGACGGCGTTCATAAACGCCCTACGTCGATTTATGTCACGTCGAGGAGTTCCGGACTCGATCACCTGCGACAACGCCACGAATTTCGCATTAGCAGAGCGAATAACTACGGACTGTCTAAAAAACGACGCAGTGGATCAAGCCATGGCGAACGCACACATAATTTGGAAAAAGATCACGCCATACGCACCGTGGCAAGGAGGGTTTTACGACCGTCTTATAAAAGACGTCAAACAGTCGCTCTACAAAACCCTTGGCAGGAAAATCATCGACGAAGATTCACTCAGGACCGCGCTTGTAGAAATCGAAGGCACCCTGAACAATAGACCATTGACGTACCAGGAGGAGAATCCGGACGAAATTATCCCTATAAGGCCCATAGACTTCGTACAGAACAGGCTACTAATCACGTATTCAGTCGCGGACGATGGTCTTAGCGATAGGGAGGACCCCAACTTTCTACTTCCTGAAGAGGCTGCCCAGCTCAGGACCCAAAACGAAGCAAAGTCAGCCCTACACGCCTCGCAAATGCTGACGGACGGGTTTTGGAAGCTGTGGAAAGACAGCTATTTAACGTCATTGAGGGAGCAGCATCGAAAACATCTACATCAAGGTCGTATTTCCCCAAACTTTCCCCGGGTTGGACAAGTAGTACACATACAAGATCCATTTTTATCGAGAAATGCTTGGAAAATGGGATTAATAACGAATTTAGGGACGGAGAATCCAAATCAAATACGCCAAGTCGAGCTCAGAATGTCAAACGGAAGAGTGACGAAGAGACCAGTAAACAGTCTTATACCACTAGAATTACTGGATTCGGATCCCGCCCACGAACACCTACCTACCCAAGAAAACCCACCCACACCCACCGAACTTCCAAGCGAACCCTCACCGGAAACCTCAGGGCGCCCCAAGCGAAATCCCTCTAAACAGTACCCGTACAGCCCCGAAGAGTAAGAAATCAACTTCATTAGCACAGACGAAAACTCAGTTACACAGTCGAATACGTCTATTTTCAGAATGGCGAACGATCCACACGAATTCATCGACAATTTCATGAACACCTTCAACGAACGAAGTACGATGTTCGAAGAATCGGAGCTCCAGCGAAGACTAGATGTCGTATATGCCGAGATAACGAAGCTTATTCAACAACGTCACAGAATCGAAGAGTCATTCTCACAACTCAAGGAAAAGGCCAGCGTATTCGACCCAGATCCAGCAAGAGCGAAACCGCTCTACGACTTAAAAACGAACTTATCGCGGCTATTGAACACATGAAGGAAAGATGGGAAAAAGTACAGGTTGTCTCTCATCTTTTATGGGAAGTCTACGACAGGCTAGTGAAACAGGATGCCTCACGGTTCTTTAGCCGACAGATGTTTGAAAATCGTCCACGGCCAGCAGGACGCTTAAACTCCAAGGACTTCAACCTCTTTGTCATCCGAGAAGAAACCGAACTGTTGCGAGGTAAACAAGGAGCACTCGAAGTTCTGGACATCGTACCATTTCTGAACCCACACGTGGAGACGGATAACTTACCCTATGTGTCCGAAGACGTCGACATCCACACGAAGCTCGACGATATCGAAAAAATTTTGCACACACTCATCGAAGACAAGAATATCTCCAAGCGTTCCCCCGACATCGACTCTCTCCTACGCAAATTACGCAGAATCGAATCTCTACTTCTCGAACAAAAAGCGAGACGAACGGAAGACACCACGGCCCAGAACCTACGTCAACTCACGGAGTTAGTCGAGCAAAAAACTAGCCATTTGGAGTCGAAAATTAGTGAGGGCAGCGAATTGATCGTTAATTCGATCATAAATCTTATGACACAGATGTCGAAAATTCTCCGAAAAGAGGACCAGCCTTCAACACATCATCATACTACCACCTCTCCAGAAGCATCGCACAAATCGAGAAGAAGTCGCTCCCGACCAGCTGCGAAGCGTCCGCCCAAGGGCCCGGACTACGCCCTTATCCAACGTCGTTTGGACCATCTCGCATATTGCGAACAACGTCAATACGGACAAGATGCACCCCGACCTTCGCAGGACTATAACTGTGCCTTTTGCGACTCTTCTCACACCGAAGACGCATGCACCACATATAGATCAGTTGAAGACAGACGAGCACGAGTACGCACACTCAAACTCTGTATCTTCTGCTTAAACAGAGCCTGTCCCAAACCGTGCCCACAGAGGATGCCGTGTAAATGCTGTAAAAACAATTCGCACCACCATAGCTTATGCGCGCTACCAGAAGAAAGGACAGAGCTCGAAAACCAGCTAGCTTTATATACATTGAAGCCCCCCGGAGTGTGCTGAGGCCGGATTTGACCCCCGGCCTCAGCGCTCAGGTGATCGATTTGCGCGCTAAAGTTACCCATTTAAGGCGCCGGTGAAGGGGCTATGGACAGCCATCGACGTTCAGCTACGACTCGGATCTACCACATTCTACTGTATGTCATCTCTTCACTTTGTCGTACTTTATCACGTTAGTCGCCTCTGTTTTGGTTTTTTGCCTCATTTATTCGATACTCCGGCTCCAGGAGTTTTGGCATATCCTCTTAATGTTGAAATGTTGCAAGTTTCCTGCCTTGGGCTGTTTTGTTATTTGAATTTTAATGTTGTTCGTTCCGGTTTCTAAATTAGATCAATTCTAGTGCCCATATGATACGGTTGCTCATTATCGATACTCATACTTATAAAGTTCTACGATCCTCAGGTTATTCACTCAATACTGAAATGTTGTTCGTATTTGGTTTTGTTCGTATTTGTGTTGTTGATTCTATTTTTTGAATAAATAGGGTTTAATTACCCAAATTTGAGGTGTATGGTGTGGATTGGTGATTCTGCGGTTGCCCCCGCAAGTACTTCGGTCAATTCCGTTATTCTCTGATACTATTCCGATGGTTAAGTATACCACGTGGCAGTGCTCGAGCTCGAACCGATTGGCACGAAAAGATCAACGAAGGCCGTTTCTACTACGAAGCACGAACCAGTCGAAAAGGTGGGAAGTTTAACCAAGATCCCTTCCCCCTTTTTCACTTTCTTTTCAGTCATTTTTTTCTCTTCGATAAATTTTGGAGCTGGCCCCCCCCCCTTTTGACCTTCCCGGGGGACCATTACAGTTCATGCAAGAGACCGTGATAATATTCTGTAAGGCTTCATTATGTCAGTAGTGGGACCGCGTATGTAATACCATGTGTTCTCCATACAGCACATTCCATTCTTAGTTCCTGCCAATTACAATTAGGCTTATACACTTATATACTTCTTGAGCTAAAGTAAGGTATTCAAAAGCTTGCAAGAAGCGCGACTAACGTTGAAAGCGAAAAAATGCGTTTTATTGCAAGAAAAGTGGCATTTTTGGGGTATGTGATCGACTGTGAAGGAGTGCACATGGACCCCAAAAAGGTAAGAGCAATCGAGGGGTATGCAGTGCCGAAAAGTTCCAAGGAGCTGAGAACATTTCTCGGCATGGCATCATATTACCGCAAATTCTGCCTTGGATTCTCCAAGGTTGCGGAGAGCTTATTTGCGTTGACCTCGCCCGAAACTATGTGGAAATGGGAGGCAGAGCATGAAGAAGCATTTTCTAAGCTGAAGAAAATGATAGCCTTAGCGCCTGTATTGATGCAGCCGAATACTGAGAAAGCAAGGGAAAGATCCCGACCATTCGTGATATGCACAGCCGCATCCACAGTAGGGTTGGGAGCGGTGCTGTCCCAAGAGGGGGACGACGGGCTAGTACGCCCAATTCTTTGCCTCAAAAGAACTCAGCAGGGCAAGAGACGATTTCACATCACTGATCTGGAAGCTTTAGCCGTAGTTTTCGCAATAAGACACATACTTCCCCATGTTCATATATGGGCTTCCCACCATAGTTCTGACAGATCACGAGACTTTGACAGCGCTTTTCAATAGAAGCAGTGTATCCGCAAGGGTTTTGAGATGGTCACTGGAAATGCAAAGGTACAACCTGATGATCATATGTTAAGGATAAGACTAACGTGTTGGCGGATGCTTTGAGTAGAGGTTCTGTAGAGAGTGGAGTCTGGGAAACCCAGGAGGCAGGAGAGGCAGTAGTAAGCAAGGTAGAAGTAGAACAGAAAAGTAGATGGCTTAAAGGCTTAGAAAAAGATGAGGTTTTGTTGGATTACCGTTTTGTTGGAAAAGGGAGAGTTGAATAGACTAGTGAACATACCAGGATTGCGCTATCTTATGCGAAAAGTCGATTTTGAAATTGAAAACGGGGAACTAAAGATGTATCAAGAAGAAGAAAATCTTATGGTATGTCAAGCGCGAGGTACCAAGTATTTCCCTTAGCGCATGCAGGAACCTTTGCCGGACACTTTAGCTCGCATAAGCTGTGGAATCGAAACAAGTGTTTTGGCCTAATATTTTGACGGACATAAGTAAATGGACTAGAGAATGTCAGCAGTGCTTTGTACACAACCCTAGAATGACACTGAGACCACGCTAAAGCCAGTCGTCACAGAGAAGCCGTACGAAATTATTGGGGCAGATGTGCTCGGATTAGGGCTGACGACGAGCGGAACCAGATATGCTGTCATAGTTATCTCACTTCTCAAAGTATGCGGCAGCATATCCGGTTCCGGACAAAACGGCTGAAACGATAGCAAAAGTTTTATTCATGAGGTGGATAGCAGAGGGATGTAGATGGCCAAAAACAATACTGTCCGAGAAGGGTGGGAGTTTGAGGATGTGGTGATGGCAGAACTGACAGAAATTACAAAAATTGAGCACGTAACCACAAAGGGGTATAACCCACAGGAGAACGGAACAACGGAAAGGTTGAACGGAATTATACTGGCTATGCTGCGAAAAAGTCTGAAGGTGCCAGTGGAATGGGATGCAAGATTACCATTTTGTATGATGGCTTATAATCTTACCCCGCATAGTGCCACGTGAGAAAGCCCATACTTTGTGTTATTAGGTTGTCCGGAAATTAATGCCCGTTTTGAATTTCAACCTCAATAAGTCATACACTTCTCACTTCTAAATAGGTTGCAAAGTACCATTCGATAGAGCAAAGCAAGCTCTACAAGATGGCCATCTTGCTTTTGCAACAGCTCTCATCCATCTCGAGTTTCAAGGCAAAAAGTAAAAAGACTCAGCAGCTCGAAAAATCGAAAAGAATCGCAACTCAGTTCATAAAAACCCTACAAAAATTCTAACTTGCTCACGTAAACACTATCCACATAAGACATCTATAAACGCCTTTGCCGTATTTTTTCCTCTGTTAGAAATCAAGAAAACTGAAATTTTCGTGCATTTGCCAAAGTGATGCTGTGCCGTCCCCACATAGGTAGTTATATACCACAAGCCTGTAGAAGTACAGACTTAAATTTTCAGCTCTCTACAAGCTTTAGTTCTCGAGAAATACCGAATGTAGCTTTCCCTAGTTAGGTGGTCCAAGCGGAAATTCAAATTTCTCGAGAAATAATCTTGTAAAGAGCTGAAAATTTAGGTCTGTACTTCTACAGGCTTGTGCTATACAACTACCTATGTGGAATTGGCACAGCATCACTTTGGCAAATGCACGAAAATTTCCGTTTTCTTGATCTCTAACAGAGGAAAAAATACGGCAAAGGCGTATATAGATGTCTTATTTGGATAGTGTTTACGTGAGCAAGTTAGAATTTTTGTAGGGTTTTTATGAACTGAGTTGCGATTTTTTTCGATTTTTCGAGCTGCTGAGTCTTTTTACTTTTTGCCTTGAAACTCGAGGTGGATGAGAGCTGTTGCAAAAGCAAGATGGCCATCTTGTAGAGCTTGCTTTGCTCTATCGAACGGTACTTTGCAACCTATTTAGAAGAGAGAAGTGTATGACTTATTGAGGTTGAAATTCAAAACGGGCATTAATTTCCGGACAACCTAATACATGGCAGAGATCCTAATTTCCCGTCAGCAGTGATACCAAGCGAAGGTATATCTTGGCACTCTATGGTCGAAAACATGGATGACTACAAGGCGCGTTGCTACAAGCTGTGGCAGTGGCAGGAGCGAGTGAAAGAGTATAGTGATAGGATAAGAAGGGAAATGAAGCGCATATACGATGAGCGGAATAAGGTGGAGGTACGGAAACTCCCAAAAATAGGCGATAGAGTGTATCTTTTGTCTTCTAAAGAGAAAGGGATGAGCACGCATCTGAAACTAGTGTCAGAATAGGCTGGACCATTTAGGGTGTTCGAAACGAGCCAAAATTCTGCACTGATAACGTGAATAGGTGATAATACAGAACCCCTG